GTTTCCTAAATCCTGTTGTAGTGTTTTGTATACACTCTCTCTCTAGAGGTACGCGATATTTCCAGGGCTTTGTCCTTATTAGTTTGGTTAACTAGAACCTGATGAGGAGGATTAAAATAGTCTCCATAATAACAAACATTTAAGACCTGAGTGGCATGCTTAGTTTAGAGAATTTTCCCATTATTTCATATAGAAAAAACTCATTAAAATATGCTTTTCTGAAAAGCAAATAATTACAAAATTATTGCAAATGAAATAGTCAAAGAAAATTTATAGTTCTTTGATAATGTATATCCTATTAAATTCTTTAAATATAGAGAAATTGCTTCAATTAGGAAATGTTTCAAGATGTTCCTATATCTTGTTTGGTTAATTGTTTATTCCTCTCTGTGCTTTTCAGTTCTCATTTGAAATGAACAGTAAATATGATTGTGGTAGGCCTGCCTTGGAGTCAGAAAGACCTAGATTCAAGACCTACTCCTGATACATTGTAGCTTCATGACAATATGGCAAACCCTCTAAGTTTCCAGTTCCCTAGGTCATTGTCTAAGACTGTAAATTTCAGACAAATTGTCCATCTGCAGTCAGTAGAGGGAGTTTTCACACCAAGAATTCGCTACACTGCTGAAATCGCAGGTCTATATTGAAAAAAAAAATTACTGTTATTTCAGGAAAGCTAAATACTGTTAGAAAATGTATTGCTGACACTGTGTTTGCTGATGGGAGTATCTTTGTTGAATTTCCCTGTTTCTGTTCATTGCTCATTTATTCTACAGGTACTATACAAGACACAGTGCTAGATTCCATGAGGGAAGGACATGGATGAATAAGAAGCAGGAAATCACTTATAGATGGTTAAAAACAGCTAGGTGGCCCAATTGATGGAGCAATGGACCTGAAGTCAGAAAGACCTGAGTTCAGATCTGGTCTCAGATACTTACTAGCTAAGTGGCCCTGAGCAAGTCACTTAACCTCAGCCTCAGTTTCTTCATCTGTAAAAATGAAGATAATAATAGCACCTACCTTCCAGGGTTGTTTTGGATCAAATAAGATAATATTTATAAAGAGCTTAACACAATGCCTGGTACATAGTAAGCTCTATATAGATGTTAGCTATTTTTATTTTGTATAGGAATACTTCATGGTGACAATCTGATCCTAAAAGAAATGGGTATTATTTCCATAGGCATAGAGTAAGATGCAGTGGGAGGAGGAGGGAGAGAGAATTTTTGGTGAAAGAGTGACACGAGCAAAAGTACAAAATATTAAAAATGCTGGGTCTGTTTGGGGAATGTGAGGTAAGGCCAAATGATTTATTGGAGCTATATTGTATAAAACCCTAAAAGCCAAGCTAAAGAATTTAGATTTTATTTATTTGATTGAAGAGCCATTAAAAGTTTTGAAGAAAGATAATGACATCATTAATTTAATGACTATTTATCTGATACCTCCTGTGTGCAAAGGGCTGCTAATGAGAACGGTGCATTTGTGAAATTAAAATTTGCCAGCAGTCAAATGCATTGTGTTTTAGAAGGGAAGGAAATGTCTAGAGACTATAATCTAGAAATTAGTTAGGAAGGTGTTGTAATAGTCTAGGAAAGATATAATAAGAACCTAAATATTAATGAACATTTGGATTTGAGAAACAGTAGAGATTATCAACAGATGACTGAATGATTATTCTGTAGTAGAGAATAGAGAAAGATGAAAGTATATGTAGAATAATTTTACATATATTCCCATTTGTGACTAATGATGGCCATCTCCTAGGTTGTGGGGGAGAAGAGGGAAGAAAAAAAGGGAAAAAAAAGAAATTTACTTGATAATTTTGTTATATATTTAAATGGAATAGCAAGTTATGCATAGTAGATTTGCAGTTTCATATGCAATCTTTTTTTGTACTGTGTTTTATTCCATAAATGGAAAATGATTTTTTTTGGTAAGGTAGTTGAGGTTAAGTGACTTGCCTAGGGTCACACAGCTAGTTAAGTGTCAAGTGTCTGAGATCAGCTTTAAACTCAGGTCCTCTTGACTCCAAACAGTAGCTGCCCCTATAAAATAATTTTTTTAAAAAAAGAAAGATACACTATATATGGGTCAATAATTTGCAGAGATTTTGAGCCTGGATTCCTGCCCAGGAAGAAGGGGGAAAAAGACCACTGAATGCATGTCACCTTCAAGAGGGGATATCCAGAGAAAGTAAAAGGTTAAAGTAAAGAATTATGTAGTGAAAAAGTCCAGGCAATTAGTACAAACTATGCTTTTGAAAAATTTGGTTGTAGATGGATGAGATCAAGTTAATGAAAGAATTTTTTTTTGCATGCAGTTAGTCAGTAAACCTGTACCTACTGTGTACCAAATGCTTTGCTAAGCACCCATGATAGAAAGACAAATGACAGTCTCTGATTTCAAGGTGCTCACATTCTAACGGGTGAGACAACATGCAAACAACTATATACAAACAAGATACTTATAGGAGAAATTGGAGCTAGTCAGTGGAGGGAAGGTTACCGGAATTAAGATGGATTAGGAAAGGCTTCTCAGAGAAGGTGGGATTTTAGCTAGGACTTGAAGGCAGCCAAGGAAGGTAAGAGGTAGAAATGAGGAGGAAGGGCATCCCATCATGGGGAACAGCCAGTGCAAAAGCATAGAGATGGGAGCTAGAATATCATGTGTGAAGAATAGAGTGACTAGTTTGGCTAGTTCAGAGATTATGGGAGTAATACCTATTAAAACTAGAACGATATGCTGGGGGCAGGAAGTGTAGGATTTTTAAAAGCTAAACAGAGTAGTTTAAGTATTTATCTGAGAGGCAATAGGGAGTTACTGGAGTTGGTTAAGTCGGGGAGTCACAGGGTCAGATTTGTGCTTAAGAAAAATTACTTTGGCAGTCATATATGGAATGGACTAGAGTGAGGAAGAGAATTAAGACTTAGATAACAGTGATTGACCATCATTTGTAGGGTTGACATGTCTTGACAACCTCATGATCAACTAGATTAGAGGCAGGGTTTGAAAATGTCATGGCGACTGAACTCCAGATTCTTGCTTAGCCTAACTCATAATACACATACTAGGACTGAGTTGGCTGGGTTTATCATTAGTCTCTCAGTCTCAAACCTCTCCCCTCCCCAGTCTATCTTCCACATAGTCGTCAGAGTTATTTTCCTGAAGCATGGGTCTGACCATGTCATTCAGCCTACTCAGTAAACTCCAGGGGATCCTTGTTACCTCCAGAATCAAATATAGTTTTAAGTTTGCCATTTAAAGTTCTTTACAGCCTAGTCCTTTCCTGCCTTTCTAGCCTCCTATCTTTTCTACCCATCACATACTCTAGAATCCAGCTTATTTGACTTTCTTTCTCTTCCTTGCACGAGATGTCACTGCTCTGCACCATGCCTAGAATGTTGTCTCTTCTGTCCTTCATATAGAATACTCAACTTCTTTCAAGATTCATAAAAAAAAAAAAACAACCCACCAAAAAAACAAGAAAACTAGAACATTTAGCACAGAGGCCTTTCCTGGTCCTCTCAGCTCCTAGAACCTTCCCCAATAAGGTTACTTTCCATCAAATGGGTATGTGTCCTTCACATACCAACTTATCTGCATGTTGTCTTCCCCATTAGATTGTAAACTCCTTGAGTGAAGGGACTACTTTTGACTTTTTTGTATCTCTGGCATATAGCATATGCATGTTATAAAATAAGTGCTTAATAAATAATTGTTCATTGACTGATTTCTGCCCTTAGTCTGACTCCTATGCAGGCTAGCTGCTTTAGCCTTTTGCATGGCTCTAGCCATGGAACTCTTAGCTAGTTAGGAGAGCAGTGGTATGTAACAGAGCTGAGAAAGAGTGCTGGGCACTTATGTTTGAAGTCTGGTCTCCTACTCTTTGGTAATATTGTTGAGGTCTAGAGGTGCTGGGAACCCTAAAATTGAAGGGCAAACAATGCTGGTCCTGCCTCGAATGAATTCAACCCAAGCCTTCTTTCAACCAGAGACAAGGTTTATTAAAACACCAGTTGTGGTGGGTGATACTCTCAAGGAATCTGAGCAATTTAATGGGGGCATGATAGATATTTATATATAGTGGTGTAAGAGTGACCAATAGCTTGATTGACTGGGAGGTAACAGAGAAGAACACTGTAACCCTCTCAGTCTTTTTTTTTTTATAAAATGGGAATACATTACTGATGGAAGCCTCAGTGTTATTTTGAGAAAGTACATTGTAAGCCTCGAATAGTTACATTCATGTGAGTTTTTTTTTATCATTTCATCAGTAAGCCCAACCAGCTTTTGTGTTGTACATTTTAATTCAATCAGCTCCACTAAGCATTTATTAAGCACTTTCTATATTCAAAACACTGTACTAGGGGAGGGTTATTCTAAGGTAAAAACAAAAATAGTCCTTGCCTTTGAGAAAGTTATATTATACTGGGGGGAGGGGTGTTAAAAATAAAAAGAAAGGAGTAAATACCAGAAGATTTGAGTCCTGTGAAAACTCTTGTCAACCAATTAGAAATGGCTTACTGTAGGAGGTATCACTGCAGCTGAACTTGGATACTGTTTTTGGTCATAGTATAGTTTGATCAGTGAAAATTTCTCAACATAGGCAGAAAAACAACCTAGGGAATGATGTTTGAGTAGTGGTATCTTCTTGATTTGATAGTCACAGGACTGGATATTTTATTAACTGATCTATTCTGTGATACAGATCCATTTAGTTTTTTAAATGGTGAATATTGAATCTTTAGTAAACTTCACTTAAAATTAAATTAGAATAAATTTAATTTGGGATTAAATTAATTTAAAAGTAATTTAATTTTAAAAAAAAATTAAATTAATTCCTTCCCCTGGTAGTTGGGTGACTTTTTTTTTCACCATTTGGCTTTAAATAACCTAACAAAAGCCAGTTTGTTCTGTCATCTGTAGGCTCCATTTACCTAAAATATTGAAAACTTATGTACACAACAAAATCCTTTATTTCTGTTTCTTCATAGGGATGACGGTAAGTTCTAACAAAGATGGCTCAGGAATGATAGTTCGAAGTATCATCCATGGTGGAGCCATCAGTCGAGATGGCCGGATTGGTGTAGGGGATTGTATCTTATCCATTAATGAAGAATCTACCACCAATCTAACTAGCGCCCAGGCAAGAGCCATGTTAAGGAGGCATTCTCTCATTGGACCTGACATAAAGTAAGTAATAGTAGGGAAAGAGTTTTGAAAAAATTAAACACACTGAGACCTATATGACCTATAAAATTAGAGGATCTAAAATCATTAAAATGTGTGCTTTTCAGTTTTCTTTGTTATAAATCTTTCAAATCAACATAATATTTGTTAAACATTAACCACTTAATAAGTTGTATATTTTAAATGTATTGTCATGTTTTTACAGTCATTTCTCCTTAGATACCCCATACATCACATTGATTGCTTCCTGTAACAAAGAAAAACATAAAAGAATCCTTGTTAACTATCACATTCCTTGCATTATTTCTCTTTCTTGCTGCATAACAATATCTATTTATATTTAAACATTGCTGTTTTTTCTTTAACTTTAGTTGTAGCTTGAGAATATGTTGCTCATGACCTTTCTACCCCTAAGCCTGTCACTGTGAAAACCATTGGAGGGTTTGGTGACACTCTGGGTCCTCAATAAATTTCAAAAGTGAGGGGCTCACTAAGAAAAAAAGCTGAATTGAGCATTAGGATACCCATTGGTTGTACAATGCTGAAGGAAGTTTCAGAGTTAAATAGTTTGACCAGAGAGTCTCAAAAATAGGCCTGGAACAATCTGTCTATTCCCCAATGGAAGCTCTCTAGTCTACCCTTGTCTAGGGACCTAAACATATCCTGGCTCTGCCATTTCCTGTGTGACTTTGATAAGTCACTTAAAACTGAATAAAGAAAACAAAAAAATCTCCATGCTTTACTTTCCTTCTGTATCAAATGGAGGGGTTAAATTACAGGAGCTATGATGTACTTTCTAGCTCTGGATTTATATTTCTAAGTAATCAGCGCTCTTAGAGTATGACAAAATGTTACCTTTTTTAGCTCCACTAAACTTGTCATATAATGTGTACCTATAAAGTAAGCCTGCTTCCTTAAGCCACCTATAAAATCAGCCTTATTGTTTTATGGCCACAATTTCTAAGGTGATTGTTTTCTTTCATAAAAGACAGCCTTGTTTAGTTGTGATGAACAAAGGGCCGGGGAGTCAGAGGATCTGAGTTTGAACCCTGTTTTTTCTACTTACCACTGCTTTCAAGTCACCTTTCTTTAGGTCTTGGCCTCCTTTCCTTAGAGCTGAGAATCCTATGATCCTACATTTTCCATTCCTGTATAGGGAATATAATAGTGCCAAATCTGATGTTCATAAGCACCCAAGCATGATGTTCATCTGGAACTGGAGTTAGGATTACTTTGTGTAACTGGTTTTGTGTACTGCACATTATTTTACTGACATGCATTTTATATTACTGGTTCTCCTACAAAGAATGTATGTTGAATTTTCATAAAGAAAAGCCACAATTGCAATCTGGTTTTCATTCTCCTTTCAATAAAAAGCAGACGTATATCTTATGACATTTTTCTGGTTGACTCTGCTGGTGATATATAAAAGAAGTATTATTATTATACAACCTAACCCCTTTTCCCAACTTCATTAATAGTTTTTCAATATTTGCATGTCTTAATTAATCCTTGATTTAAAAATCAAGTCATGTAACTTTAATAATCTTGACCACAATTTAAGTACAAGTGAAAATTATAAATATTATCTAAGTACACACTAATGAAAGAAATCATGTCTTCTTTTCAGTGTTCTTTTATACTGTCATTTATTTCTCTTCAAAAGATAAGTGGGATATAAAGGGATAAAGCCACTTATTGTAAAATATTAATTTGTATAGTTTATCTCTGGCATCATATATGGATAAGGTGATGACTGAATCTTTTCTTTTGCTGTATTATGATTTTTAAGTTTTTTGTTATTGGAGCTAATACAGATCACTTTCCATTTTCCTGAGATACCTGAATTGGAGCTCAGTACTGCTATCCTCAGTGTTCTAGTACATTGCAATATTTGTAGACTTTTGTATAAAAGGGACATTGTGACTATAATTTAAAATGACATGCCTTAGCTCCTGTTTGTGGCTTAAAAGGACTGAAGTGAATTCCATCCCTTCTCCACAATTGAAATTGCTGCTCTTCTCTGTTGCCTCTTCCTTCAATTCCTTACCAGAATTTGTTAATTTCATGTTGAAGATAGCTTTATTCTGACTGTCAAGAGCATCTAGAGAGGGGGTCTGGCAAGTAATTTCCAAAAAAAAAAGAAAAAAAATGTGTTAATATTATGAGGGGGAATCATAGATACCACCAAGACCACCAAGTCTTGCTTCAGATGGTTGTAGAGTTTGGCTCACTGGGCAGAGAATACAAAGCAAGAAGGACATATACATGTACATATATACATATACATACACACACACACACACACACACATACTCCTTATAGCCCACACTAGAATGGGTACTAAGCAAAAAAAAAAAAAAAAACAAAACCAAAACAAATCAAAACAAAACAACCCAACATTCAGCCCCTCTGGTCAGCTATCACAAGTGTTGGGGAGAAAGGGCATTTGTCCTTAGTGTTCTTTCCTTGCCACCAGCCTTGCATGAAGCTAGGACATAATTTCCCTTGGATCCCATTTGATCTTCCCAAAAGAAAAGTCATTCCCTTGTATTTGAGCATACAGGAGCAGAAGCCTCACCTCTGAACCACTGAGGTTTCAATTTTGGCTTAAGATTGCCAACTATGTTGAGAGCTGAGACTAGGTTTTCTTCCTACAAGGGGGGAAAAATTGGGGGGAGGATGATGGGATATTTTTGGTTGGATTGTGGATAACCTGTTAAGAGGAGATCTAAAAGAAAAAAAAGGCATCCCCCAAAATGAAATATAAAATTGCTTGGCTTTAGGAAATTCTATGATTATTGAGAAAATGCTTGGATATTCTTGAAAGTCACAGTACATGGCAACTGTGTGTGTGTGTGTGTGTGTGTGTGTGTGTGTGTGTAGAATTTGAGTTTTAAGAGTTCAAGAACAGCCAGTTTAAGTTCCAGGTTTCATTATTTTCTGGGGAAAACCAGATGTGTAGCCTCACCAGAATGCATTCTGTTTCACTTCTCACTCCACCTTGCCAGGAGCCCTTATATTTCTGTAATAATAGCCAGGGTTTTGCGCTTAGCAGCAGCTGCTAGTAACATCTGCCAGATAATTACTGAGCTGAATCAGAATTCACCTGCCTTAACCTAAAGTGTGGGATGAATTCCTGATCAAGGAATAAAAGATTGATTGCAGTTACATTTTTCCATGCTTGTTAATAATCACTGCTATAGACACCAGTAAAGAGCAGATGCTTTCCGGGGGAGGTGTAGATGGGAGGGAGGTAGAAAGAGGGGGGAGGAACAGGAGCACACACTTTTAACTACATATGTATGCATCTCACATTCAGCACAAGACACTGACATTTGTTAACACCATTGTAAAAAGATGCTGCATCGTATGCTTCACATTCTAGATCTTCTCCAGCACCTGCTGATGATCAGGCCCCCTTTTATGTGTGAGTATTGGCGATTCAAAAGCTCATTATTGCTATATGTTGCAATTTGTCTGTGAAACCATTTCATGCTTTTATAACATCCAAAAGCAGGGATGCATCCAGATATAGATTCAGTGTATACATTTCAGCTTTTTTACTTATTCAAATTTAAGCATAAATTCCAGCAGGGCTGGAAAATGGTTGCTGCATTTTCAGATTGATGGTTGTTAGCCTATTTGAAAAATTGTATTTTCTAAACGTTGAGCTTTCAAGCTTGTTTCTAAGAGGATAATCCTACCCATGAGCTCTAGCACAGTATCTGGATTAATCTCCGTGTCACATTTTCTACGGCACTAATGTTATCGGGTTTTTTTTTTTTTGTTTTCTTTTTTTGTTTTGTTTTGCCCCTTCACATATTACTGCAGGTTAGTTTATTTTTAAGTGTGTATGTATATTTATATGTAACACTGGCTATCAGATAAGTTGTCTTCAATGTGTTCCAAATGTGGTACATAACACAGTTTCAGTTTTTTTTGTTTTGTTTTCTGTTTTTTTGTTGGTGGTTTAGAGGTTGTTTTGTGTGACAGTGTGGCCAAGCGTGTGTTCAGTACCCCCCTTGCACTGCACGCACCCTTGTGTTGTGGGATGTTGGTGTTGCTGGTTCTTGTCTCTTCGATAAATCTTGGATAAATACTTATGAAACTGCCTTTCCCCCCTCAGGTTTCTGTCTGGCAGGCATCTGTAGAGAGCTTTTATTGGTCCAAGGAGGAAAATGAGAAAAGGATCTAGAACAAAGCTCTTTATACAGCACTTGTGTGGATGCTTAACATCTCGTACATAAATTAAAAATGTTTTACTGGGTTTTGTTTTCTCTCCTTTGGGTTCTCATGTTCTTTCCTCATTACTTTCCTAGACTTTTCTTCAAGATTTCTCTACTGTGATTTGGATAGTTGACAAAATTTTTAGAACTGTCACCTATCTTGTAGAGACTCTTTAGGCCCTTAGTTAAAGTACTCATTTCCCCCATATTTAACTTCATGGACTCTCCTGGTATTCGCTTATTCACTTACTTGTTCATTCAACAAATATACTGTAATGAGAGGCAACATGATGGAGTGAGGCTAGAAAGTGCCTCTGATACACTAGCTATGTGGCTATGGCCAAATTACTTATGCTTTTTTTTTTTTTTTTGGCTAGGCAATGGGGTTAAGTGACTTGCCCGGGGTCATGTATCTAGTCAGTGTTATGTGTCTGAGGCTGGATTTGAACTCAAGTCCTCCTGAACCCAGGGCCGGTGCTCTATCCACTGCATCTTCTAGCTGCCCCAAATCACTTATACTCTTGATGGCTTAGGCAAATCTTTCAGATTCAAATTATAAATGAATTTCAAATCTCTTTTGGAGAGCAATTCCATCTTGGGAGTTTCCCAAACTTAAGCAATCACTGGTCTGAACTGCCTGTCTCCTTTTCCCCACCAAAGGTGTTGGGGGATGGGGTGGGGAAGAATTATGTAATGCAATATGCTAGATTTTGGGGGAGATAGAAACTCTGCCTTTGCAGGGCTTACAATTCCAATTTTTATTATTTCTTCTGAAGAGTTTCAGTACTTATTGCTTCATAAAGCACTTTTGTGAGTCAAATGCCTACCTCTTCATTACCATTTTGAAGATCAGATGAATGTAGACATTAATGTCAGAACCCATGGCCTTGCTAATCAGGTGGAGCAAAAGAAGACACAACTCAGGGACACTCAAATAGTCATTTCAGGATGGGAGCTGGGACTGCCGTAAAAGACTAACGCTCTGAGGAGTTAGGTCAAGTTAGAGAAATAATCCAGCACTCCCTCTATCTTACTTCTTAGACCCTTACTTCCCTGCTTCAGTTTCGGCCTCTGTAATGACATCCCCTCTCATCTTAGTCCGTTGAATGTTATCAACCCGAACATTCTGTGATAGTAACATAGCCTGGCCTTTGTATTGTGGGACTCCATATTTGTACCTCAGGAGTGTACTACACTTTCCTTGCTCTATCATTTGTCTAGCATATAGCATGCCTTCTTAAAATTCCATAAGACAATTAATTGCCATGCCCAAGATCAAACGGTTATTAAATTTGGGTCCAGAATTTTTTAGGTCTCCTGAATTCCAGGTTGAAACTAAATCCAATAAATTGTTTCCTCTTTCATTGGCTAATGTATGTCACCTGGCAAAAATGTATACAAAGGAAGTGGTTCCATAGAGTTGATGTATCTTAGGTAAGAGTATACCTACATGGTACATTAGTGATTTGGGATAGAAAGCTAATTAACAGGACATAGTAGTGGGCATTGAAGGGTGAAAGGAAATAGAGAGACCCCCACATAAAACTGTATAACTTCCTCAATTGATAAATTAGGCCACTTGAGTAACATAAAAAGGTAATCCTCAGTCCTGCCAGAAAATACTGACTTTTCATGTAAATATCACCCTCATGTTGATTTTGTAGGTATTTTTCGCATTATTTATAATCTCTGTATTATGCAGTTGTTGGTCCATAAGTACACTTTAGTTACACGAATACACAGACTTGATCTCATTTAATATATTTAACTTGCCCTGTTACTCATTGATCTATGGCTCAAGTTCCAACTAGGGAGCACAAAGTATGGTGCACTAAGTAACATAATGGGGCAAAAGCCAAATACTTTGCCCACAGTGGGATACTGAGCAATCCACAAAGCAATAGGAGGCAATACCTAGCACAGTGCAGTAGTTACTCCAGGAGCATTTAGTGAATGAACAAATGAGTGCTTGTGTTTTAAATGTCAAGTTAACTTTTTCTAAATATCATTAGAGGAAGATTGTGAAGGAGAAAGATATTTTTGACATAGTTTAAACAATTTGATATCATATTTCAGAGTTTGAGACTCACCATTTGGTGGGACTTTTAGGTGGTCCTTCATAGTGCTTGCTAATTGAAGTGACTGGTTTAGATATACAGAAAGAATAAAAGTAGCCCTGGATAGGCAAGGCTAGTGCGATGGGCTACTAAATTTGGTGTGTCCTGGAACCTGGACATATTCAGAGGAGTTTGATGCTTTACATGTATTTCCAATACCAAGATATCATTGTAAGCCTTATTATCATTTAGGAACTGCCATAACATTTATTAATCACCCACTACTATCATGGTTTCCTGTGAACTTTCATTGGAAAAATTTGGCTGCTTATGTCCCCAGAACACAAAATGAAAACTAATGCTACCTAAATGACATTCAATCAACAAACATTTATAAAACATCTTCTATGTCCTATGCACTGTACTGGATATACAAAGACACAAGAGAAAAAGGCCCTGCCCTTAAGGATCTTACATTCTATCAGAGAGATGGCATATGCACATATAGGTATATACAAATTAGATTTAGGCCGGGAAGATACTAGCAGTTTGGTTTATTGAGAAAGCATTCCTAGAGCTGAGTCCTGAATTATTCTAAGGATTATATGAAGCCAGGGTGAGGTAGAATATAGGACATTCTAGGTATGTGGGACAGCTTATACAAAAGAAATGGAGGGTGGTATTTGAAACAGTAAGAAGGCCAATTTGACTAGAACTTAAGGTACATGAAGGAGAATGATATATAATACAGCTAGAAATGGAAGTCGGGGCCAGATTGGGAATGGCCTTAAATTAAGTCAATCAGAGGAGTTGACATTTGACCTTAGAATAGTAGAGAATCATTGGAATTTATTAATAAAGATTTGCAGTTTCGTGTGTAGTCATCTTTTTTATTGTTATGGAAATGCTTGTTTTATTCCATAAGCTAAAAATAAAATCAATATTTTTTTAAAAGGAATAACGTGGTCAGACCTGTACTTTAGGAAAATCACTTTGTTGCCTGTGTGGAAGATGGTATAAAGAGGGCAGGATGAGTCAGGGAGAATAAATTAGGAGGATGTAGTCCAGATGAGAGCTTTTGAGGATTTCAGCTGAGGTGGTGGATGTATCAGTGGAAAGAAGGGGACACACTTGAGGAATGTTGTGGAGGTAGAAACAGTAAGATTTGGGAATTGGTTGGATATGTGGGATAAGAGAGAGTGAGGAGTCAGGGAGCACGCTATGGATGCAAATTTAGGTGGTACCATTGGCAGAAATAGGGAAGTTTGAAGAAGAGTGAATTTTGGAGAAAAGATAATGAATTCTCATTTGGACATGATGAGTTTGAGATAACTATAGGACATCTAATTAAAAGTGTTCAGTAGGTAGTTGGTGATGCAGGACTATAGCTCAAGAGAAGGTCTAGGGCTGGATATATAGATCTGGTAGTCATTTGCATAGAGATGATCATAAAATTCTTGAGAGCCAATGAGGTCACCAACTAAAAGAGTGTTGAGGAAGAATAGGAGGCCAAGGAAAGAGCACTGGGGTATAACCGCTATTTGGGGGCATGGGGTGGCTGATAAGCCATCAGAGAAGACTGAGGTGTAGTCAGGTGGGAGAACTAAGAGAGAGCAGTAAAGTAAAAATAAAATCCCAGGTGAGAGAGAAGAGAGTGTTCAGCAGTGTTAATTGATGACAAAAAATTAAGAAATATGAAAAGAAAACCATCATGTTCATCAACTAAGAGGTGATTGGATAAATCATTTTGAGTTGAATGAGGACCCAAGCCAAATTGTATAAAGTTGACAAATGCCTTCACTTGGAGGCCATGATAGAAAACAACTTTTTCTAGGGCATCATTTCATGTGCCCATGCTACCAATTCAGTTCTGTTCAACACACATTTTTTAAAGTACCTGTATGTGCCTGACTCTGCTCAATACTGGAGATACCAAAGATGAAAATGATGATAAGCAGCTTCCATTAAAGTCTAACCGGGGTGTAGTGCACTACATTTACACCGATTAGAGTGTGATAAGGGCAAGCAAAGAGTCAGACAAAATACATTTGGTAAATTTGAGGAAGGTGAAATTGCTCAGGGAAGGCTTACTAGAAAAGATCAAGAAATAGTTTCTAATAGGCAGGAATGAGGAAAGAATGCATTCAAAGCATGGGTGATAGCCATTTAAAAAAATTGTTTACACGTAGATTTTCAGAGGCTTCCTTCCTAATTTGGTTTCTTTTAGTATATTACACTCAAAAAGATTTTTTTTTTATATAGAAAAATACTTTTCTGTGAACATGATTAATAAGGATGGTAATATTGAATTTTTGCCCTTTTGGAAGGTTCTCTTATTTTTTTCCTTAACATTCTGCTAATCTTTGATATCCCTTTTTACTTTTATGTAATGTCTTATTTTCTAGGGTTACCTATGTTCCTGCAGAGCTTTTGGAAGAGTACAGAGCAAATTTAGGACACCAGACTGAGGAAACAATGTCACTTGATATGTTTTCATCTTATACTGCCAGGTAATCAAAATACTCTCTAGTAACTGCACCACAAGAGAGTTTGTCAAAACTGAAAGACCATGGTTGAGTTCAACTTTTTGCTTATGGAATAACAAGAATAGGATTTTGAAGAGAAACCATGAACTGGAAGGAAGGGGCAGGGGGAAATATAACATGCTAATTTCCACTCACATTTGTGCAAAATTATTTCTCAGCTAGCATTCAAGTCCTAGAGCTTAATTGTGTGTAAGGGACAGAGCTGGAAGAATGAGCTCTTTCATATTTTCCAAATGTGAGCAGATATTCTAAAATTTGCTTCTATAATCTCAAAGTAGGTTATTAGAACTCTGTAAACTTCTACATGGACAGCTAGGTGGTGCAGTGGATAGAGTGCCAGGCCTGAAGTCAGGAAGACTAATCATCCTGAGTTCAAAGATGGCCTCAGACACTTACTAGTTGTGTGACCCTGGGCAAGTCACTTAACCTTGTGTGCTTCAATTTCCTCATCTGTAAAATGAGCTGGCAAATGGCAAACCATTTCAGTATCTTTGCCAAGAAAACCCCAAAAGGAGTCATGAAGGGTCAGACACAACTGAATAACTAAACTTTTGTATAATGCCATTGACATAGAGGCTTTCAAGCAGCCACACCATGCCCCCAAATAGTGGTTATACCCCAGTGCTCTTTGACCCACTACTGTTGCTCGACACTCTTTTACTTGGTGACCTCATTCTTTTCAAGGGTCCTGATACTAAGGAAATGTTTAATCTAGAAAATATAGAAAAACATGGAAAATATACTATGAACCCAAAGAGTACTGGCAATAAAAAAATATAATACATTGTTTAATAACATAATCATCTGTTTTGGTTGCTACTCTAAGGTAAAACCTATTTGCTGCTAGTAAAATAGAAGGCTTAATGAGGCTCCTTTTTTCATAAACTATTTCTTTTTTATGTCAGGGAATATTTCTGTTTATTAAATAAGATTTTTAGAAAATACTGACTTTCATAGGTTAATCTATTTATAGCTACAAATGTCATTGAGAATAAAAGATTTATGGATTTCTTGATTAACTGAATAGTTTAGCTAAATAGAATACTCTGCCCTAAAGTTTTGCAGTGGCACCATACCAATGAGGAATACAGAAGCATTTTTTTAACTATACAAAATTTTCAAATTGAAAATAACCTTGTTTAAATTTTCTTTATACATTAACATACAAAGAGTCTCATTTTATGAGAAATCTAAAAGAATAAAAATAACTTCTTTAACTATTTCCTAAATAACAAATCCTAAATAACAAAATTATTACACCAAAACTTTACAGTACTCTATATTCAATAAAAAGAAAATCTAAATACATGCTTTATACAAGATTCCAGAATGGCTTAGGCAAGTTTTTCCTCTTCTAAAACTTTTTTCTTCTATTTTTCATAACACTAGTTATTTTTGTTTTCTTTTAAAAGTCTTTATATAAGTTTTGTATCATCAGGAGTTTTTTGTTTGTTTGTTTGTTTGTTTTTTGGAGAGGCTATTGGGGTTAAATGACTTGCCCAGAGTCACACAGCTAGTGAGTGTGTCTGAGGCTGGATGAACTCAGGTCCTCCTGACACCAGGGCCAGTGCTCTATCCACTATGTCACCTAGCTGCCCCTATATCATAAGATTTTAACCAGATATTTAAATAATTGATTCTGATTATGTCCTTTTATAGATTCAAAGAATATCAGAGCTTGAGAGAGGTACTTAAAAACCATTTAGACCAGGGATTTTTTTTTCACCTTTTTTGTATTATAGACCCCCTTAGGCAGTCTGATGAAGTCTATAGATCCCTTTTCAGAATAATGTTTTTAAATGTTGTAAGTAAAATTGATAGGATTTTAAAGGAATTCCATTATATGGAAACACAGTTGCCAAAATATATTTATTTTAAAAATCAAGTTCACAGACTCCTGATCAATTCCAACCTGTCCATTTGATAGTTGGGAAGACTGAAACCCAAAATGATTAGGTAACTTGCCTGAGGTACTACAAGTACTAAATGGTAGACCTGGATTTTCTGATATTAAGTCTAGTGTTGTTTCCACTATACCATTCTATTGCTGCAACTTTGTTTTACTCTGCACTGACTTCTTTGAGCATCAGAGTATGGGAAAGCTCAGTGCAGCTGCAGAAATGGGTTCACTTTGAGTCTGTACTGTTTTTCAGTAGGTTTCCAGCTACTGTAAATAAATAATCCCCTAGTATACTTTATTTCAGTAGGCTTTAAATGTGATTTTAAAATGACATAGGCTATGTTTTCTCTTTAGAAAAAAAAAGCATTCCCTTGCTGGTATCTATTGTACTTACTGCCAATCAGAAATCCAGATATATTTTCTTATATAGTTAGCATTTGGTAAAAGCAAAATTGCAGCAGACATGGAAAGGGGGAAAATCCAAACACAGTCTGTATTTTAATAAACTTCCTATGTAAGGAAGTGTAGCATGTGTCTGGTAACTCCAGATGGGCCACAGCTGTGCCATAAGCATATTCTGTTTTTCTCTTATAGTTAAAGGAAAAAACACTTGCTTTTAAAGCTCTTGTTCTTTTTTTTCTTTCCCCCAAAGCTTTTGTGGAATCAACCCATGGGAAAGACTAGCTTGAAACTATTGATTTATAGATGGTAAGCTACTTGAGGACAGGAAGAATGCTTTGCATATTTTTGTGTCCCTACCTCCCAAAGTACCAAGCACTGTGCTTTTTTCTAAGTAAGTAAGTATTTGCCGAATAAATGAAGAAATGAAGCAATTGTTTTTCCTTTAAAACTCAGATGATATTTTCCCATTGCAGTAGGAGAGAAACAGATTTTTGCAGACTCTGTATTTATTCTTAGAGTACAGGTTTTTAACCTTTGTTGCATCATGAATGCCTTTGGTAGTTTAGTGAAAACTATGGACCCCTTCTCAGAATAATTTTTTGCGGGGCTAGGCAATGGGGTTAAGTGACTTGCCTAGGGTCACACAGCGAGTGTTATGTGTCTCAGGTCAGATGTGAACTCAGATTCTCCTGAATTCAGGACCGGTGCTCTATCCACTGTGCCACCTAGCTGCCCAGAATAATATTTTTACCCAGAATAAAGGCACCCACTTTTATTGAAATACAGTTATCAAAAAATATTTTTAAAACAAACAAACAAGTTCACAGACCCAGAATAAAAACTCTGGTCTTAGAGATTTATTCTATATCTTTTCACTAAGCTTATGACAAAATGTTTTCATCATCTCTTGCTTTTGACTGCAATCATGGAGCAGAGGAGTTGAGTGAGTAGGAGTTTCACAGTGCTGAAACAAATAGTTGTTCTAAAGGCTTTATGCTCATGCTGAAACAGATGAACCAGTGGTAAGAAATCTGTGGGTGTTTTTACAAGTATTTTAAAGTACTCAGTACATCACTCTTTCACAGAGAAATCCCAGAACTCCCAGAACGTGAGGAAGGAGAGGGAGAAGAAAGTGAGCTTCAGAATGCAGCCTACAGCAGTAACTGGAGTCAGCCAAGGAGGTGAGTATTGTTTCTGGTTGAGAAAAGTCTTTGTAGGGATTTTGGGTGTATACTTATGAATTTGGTCAGCATGCTCTTTAGGTTTCTTCACTACAGTAGAAAATGCCTTCATTCCATAAACTGAAAAAAAAAAAGAGTCCTTGTGTGATTTCAGATTACTTAAGTATGATGGTATTTTCTCATACACACACTTTAGTACTTTGATGTCCAGTGGTTTAGCTGGTACAACTTTGTATACAGAAGCACATTAAATATATAACAATGTGCCACAAAGGTGTAGTCATTCTTTCCTCCTTCCATTCCATTCATTCTATGTATATTTATTATAGAGCTGGTAGAGCACCGTGATTGGTATAAAAGGATAAGAAACAAATAGTTATAATAAAAACTATGAATCATTCAGTCAATAAACATTTGTCATGTGCCTACCTACTATGTTGGCAGGCACTGCCTAAGCACTGGGGATTAAAAAAAAAAAAGCAAAATACAGTCCCTTCCCTTGAGAAGCTCATTATCTAAAGGAGAAGACATACAAACAACTATGTATAAACTATATTCATTATATATACATATATATATATATATACACATATGTATGTTTAGGAATAACTAACAGAAGGAAGTCATTAAGATTAAGGAAAACTGGGAAAAGGTTCTAATAGAAGGTGTGATTTTAGCTGGGCTTGAAGGAAGTTAGGAAGTGGGGATGAAGAGGGAACATTCCAGGTATGGGGGAAAAGTGAAATGCCCAGTCTCAAGATGGAGAAGATTGCTCAAGAAATAGCAAGGAGGATGGTGTCACTGGACTGCAGATTATGTGAGGGTAGTAAGGTATAAACAGATTGGAATAGCGAAGGAGAGGAGGCTAGGTTATGAAAGACTTTCAGTGCCAAACAGAAGATTTTATATTTGATCCTGAAGATAATAGGGAGCCATTGGAGTTTATTGAGAAAAGGTGGTGGGAGGATGACGTGATCAGTCTTATGCTTTAAGAAAATCACTTTGCTAGCTGAGACTTGACAGGAGAGAGACTTGAAATAAACAGATAAGCCAGCAGGCTATTGCAGTAGTCCAAGTATGGGATAATGAGGACCTGCACTAGAGTGGTGGCAGTGTTAGAGGAGAGAAGGGAGCATATATGGGAGATGACAGGTCTTGGCAAAAAGATAGGATATTGGGGGTTAGAGAGAAGGAGGAGTCAGGGATGACAGCTACTTTGTTAGCATGGGTAGATATGGATAGTTAGTGGTACCTTCAAAAGTAATAGGGGAGTTAGGAAGAAGGAAGAGTTTGGGGGAAAAGATATTTAGTTCAGCATGTGTCCAAAGCAGAACTTAAATGAACTTGAGTTGTTCTAATTCCAAGTGTAGCCCTCTTGCAACTATGCCAGATTATATCTCCTGAATAAATATGTGAACTGAAAGATTTGGTTGTTATTATATTGAGCTTATTGAAAACCTAGTCTTGGTGATGTGTGAGCTAATGTTTACTTTGATTTTTATAGCTTTATTTCTTGGCTTCATCTGGGGTGCACTAATGAACAAGATTTGGGAGATGGGATTGGGAAGAAAGAATTGGAAGACGTTCGGAAAAATGGAGTGCAGAATTGGGAAGGTTACTGAGGACCAGAATGGATAGTTTGGTGATGGTATCATGACAAGATATATTAGGTATAGCTAATTTTTAACAAAAGAATTTTGGGACAAAATGTGAAGAATAGTTCAGAGTTGGAAAACTATTTAGTTTTCTTTGCTCATCGCCCCAGACCATTGCTATATACAAATCTTTGTCTACATGATTTTAAAAAAAGCGCAGCCCAAATGGTGGATTTTTGTTTTTCTGATAGTTTTATAAATTGAATTGGTTAGAATTCATATTTCATTTGACTGACTACTCAAATATTGGGGCAGGGGAACCAACTAAAAATCTATTATCAAGCTGCTTCCTATAAACAACAGCTTTAATAGTAGAATAATAGATCACAAACTTAATAGTGCTTGACAACACAGTAAATGCTTTAAAATGATTCTGTCCATCTATCTATCTTATTGCCTTAATTGCCCTGAGGGAAAAATGGAAGTTCATGGAGTGAAAAGGCTACAGATATGAATTATATGACTTTATATTTAGAATTGAATAGGAGGAACAAAAGAAGGCATCTAGTCAAACCCCCTCATTTAACACATGAGGAAACTGAGGCAGAGAGCCATTAAGTGACTTGTTAAGGTCACACTGATAGTAAATGGCAAAGTCAGCCTTTTAATCCAGACCCTCAGATTCCAAGGTTAGGGCATACTCTATTTCATTGAATGCCAGTAGTGACATCTTTTTGTTGAATTTTTAAAAACTTTTTTGGCTTTATTTTTAGAAAATGTGGTGATGGAATAAAATAAATGCTATAGCAGATTAGCTTAGGATTCAATTGATTTGAGTTAATTCATTAAATTTCTTTTCTAATCTTAGTTAATATTTTATTTTTCCTAATTATATATAAAAATAATTTTAACATTCTTTTTTTCAAATTTTGAGTTCCAAATTCATTCCCTTCCTCCCCCACCCCCATTGAGAAAGCAAGCAATTTGACATACGTTATACATGTGTAGTCATGCAAAGCACATTTTCATATAAGGCATTCAGTAAAAGAAAACACATACAAAAAAGCCAAGAAAAATAAAGTAGGTAAAGAAAAAGTATCTTTGATCTGCATTCAGGCTATACCAGTTCTCTCTTTCTGGAGATGGAAACACCTTTTATCATAAGTCCTATAGAACTGTCTTGGATCATCGTATTACTGAGAATAGCTAAGTTATTCATAGTAGGTCACACCAGTTCTTTCTCTGGAGATGGACAGCACCTTTCACCATAAGTCCTACAGAATTGTCTTGGATCATTGTATTACTGAGAATAGCTAAATTATTCATAGTAGGTCATCATACAATATTGCTGTTACTGTGTACAATGTTCTCCTGGTTCTGCTCATTTCACTTTGCATCGGTTCATGTCTTCCCAGGTTTTTCTGAGATCTGAGCTCATCATTTCTTAAATCACAATAGTGTTCTATCACAATCATGTACAACAGCTTGTTCAGCTATTCCCCAATTGATGGACATCCCTTCAATTTCCAATTCTTTGCCACCACTAAAAAAGCTGCTATAAATGTTTTTGTAAAAATAGGTCCTTTTCCATTTTTTTTTTAATCTTTTTGGGATACAGACCCAGTAGTGGTATTGCTTGGTCAAAGGGTATACATGGTTTTATAACCCGTTGGGTGTAGTTCCAAATTGCTTTCCAGAATGGTTGAATCAGTATACAACTTCACCAATAGTACATTAGTGTTTTAATTTTCCCATATCCCCTCCAACATTTGTCATTTTCCTTTTCTGTCATATTAGCCAACTTGACAGTTGTGAGGTGGTAGATCAGAGTTGTTTTAATTTGCATTTCTCTCATCAATAGTGATTTAGAGCATTTTTTCATATGACTATAGATAGATTTGATTATTTTGTCTAAAAACTTTCTCTTCATATCCTTTAACCATTTATCAACTGAGGAATGGCTCTTATTTCTATAAACTTAACTCATTTCTTTATGTGTTTGAGAAATGAAGTATTTATCAAAGAAACTCACTCTAAAATTTTTTTTTCACAATAATGGTTATCAACTGTGAATGTTCCCCCTATCCCATTTTACCCTGTTTATTCTACTCTCTCTCTACTTTTAACTTGTCTGTTCTCAAAAATGTTTTGCTTCTGACTTTTGCTTCTCCCAAACTGCATTCCCTTCTATCAACTCCACTCCCCCTTCTCTTATCTTCTTCCCTTCCTACTTTCCTATATGGTAAGAGAGATTTCTGTACCCACCTGAGCATGTATTATTATTCCCTTTATTAGCTAATTCTGATGAGAGTAAGGTTCATGTCCTCTCCTCCTCAATTCCCCCATTTTTCCCTCCTCTGGAAAATCTCTTTCAGGCCTTTTTTTCACATAATTTATCCCATTCTACCTCTCCCTTTCCCTTCTCCCAGGCGTTCTTCTTTCTCAACCCTTAATTTTATTTTTTTAGGTAATCATACCATCACATTCAACTCACACCTCTGCTTTCTGTTTATGTCTACTCTTTCTAACTGCTCTAATAATGAGAAAGTTTTTTAGGAATTATAAATATCATTTTCCATGTAGGAATATAAACAGTTTAACTTTATCAAATCCCTTATGACTTCTCTTTCCTGTTTACATTTCTATGCTTCTTTTGTGTCTTGTATTTGAAAGTCAAAATTTCTCTTCAGTTCTGGTCTTTCCATCAGGAATGCTTACAAGTCCTCTATTTCATTAAATGTCCATTTTTCCTCCTGAAGGATTATACTCAGTTTTGCTGGATAGGTGATTCTTGGTTGTAATCCTGGTTTTGCCTTCCAGAATATCATATTCCAAGCTCTCCTGTCCTTTAATGTAGAAGTTGGTAAATCTTGTGTTATCCTGACTATGGTTCCAGGATACTTGAATTGTTTCTTTTTGGCTACTTGCAGTATTTTATCCTTGATCTGAGAGGTCTGGAATTTGGCTATAATATTCTTGGGAGTTTTCATTTTTGAATCTCTTCCAGGAGGTGATCAGTTGATTTCTTTCCATTTTATTTTACCCTCTGGTTCTCGAATATCAAGGCAGGTTTGTTTGTTTGTTTGTTTTTTTGATAATTTATTGAAAGATGATTTCTAAGCTTTTTTTTTCAATCATGACTTTCAGGTAGTCAAATAATTCTTAAATTATCTCTCCTGGATCTATTTTCCAGGCCATTTGTTTTTCCAATGAGAGATTTCACATTTCCTTCTATTTTTTTTTTCATTCTTTTGATTGTGTTTGATTGTTTCTTGACATTACATAAAGTCATTAGCTTCTACTTGCCCAATTCCAACTTTTAAGGAATTATTTTCTTTAGTGAGCTTTTGTACTTCCTTTTCCATTTGGCCAGTTCTACTTTTTAAGTTCTCTTCAGTGAATTTTTGTCCCTTTTTCATTTTGGCCAGTTCTGCTTTTCAAGGCATTCTTTTCTTCATTGGATTTGTGTGCCTCTTTTCCCATTTGGCCTGTTTGGTTTTTTAGGGTGTTATTTTTTTTGTTTCCTTTACCAAGCTGTTGATTCTTTTTTTTTAATGATTTTCTTGTATCACTCTCATTTCTCTTCCCACTTTTTCCTCTGTTTCTCTTACTTGATTTTAAAAATCCTTTTTGAGCTCTTCCATGGCCTGAGACAAATTCATATTTTTCTTTGTGGCTTTTTTTTGCTGAAAGTTTGACTTTGTTGTCTTCTTCTCAGTGTGTGTTTTGATCTTCTTTGTCACCATGGTAACTTTCTACGGTCAGAATTTTTTTTCGGTTGTTTGCTCATTTTCCAGACTATTTTGGGCTCTGCTTCCTAAGGAAACTGTTACAAGCTTTAGGTTTTTTTTTTTTTGTGCAATTGTTTTCAGAGGTAATTCTGGGGACCTCTGAGTTTTCAGGTCTTCCAAGATGGTATGATTTAATAAGAGGTGTGTTTATTACTTTCTTGTACTGTGCGCTGCTTTGTGAGAGAACACAAGCAATCTTTTCAAACCTGGAACTGTGACTAGGAACTCTGACCCTGCCCGCCTGCAGCCACAAGCTCTGCTGTGCTAATGCTCCTTCTCACACTGGGACTCAGACCCAGGACTGCCACCCAGATTCAAGTACAGTCAATGCAACGGAGTCCTGCCCCTGCTGCCAGCAGAGGGACTCCTCCAAGTCTCCTTCTGACTTACTATCTGATCCCCTGGCCATCTGTGGGCTGAGAGGTCTGGAAATTGCCCCTGTTTCTATTGATTCAGTCACTCGGAGGCCTGCTCTTGGTTTGCTGGGGCCTGGTCTGTGCTGGTGCCCTGGTGCAACAGACCTTTCTTCCCAACCTTCTAAGTTGTCTCGGGTTGGAAATTGTTTCAGTCCCTCTTTTTGTGGGTTCTGCTGCTCTAGAATTTGGTTAGGGTCATTATTTAAAGGTATTTGGAGGGGTTTGGGGGAGAGCTTAGATGAGTCCCGGCCTTAACTCCTCCATCGTGGCTCTGCCTCCACTAAATTGATTGGTACGTTGGAGCATAGAAAAAATGTAAGACCGATATGTGTCCCTGAACTCAAAGAGGTTTTAATGCAGTAGATAAGATAATATATAAAGTGGTTAAATAAGAGTATAGGACAGTGTATGATTAAGGGATAAATACAAAGAAATGCCTCTTCTAAATAATTGAAATATGATTGTTATTTTGAGCAGTGCCTTCTACATAACAAAGTATCTGCATGGGCCATTGGCCGAATGGAACCAAGAACTCTTGCTTGTTAAATAAACTTTGACTGAATAATTAACATATGTGCTTCTTTTAAAGATGTAACAAAGTACCAATTTCAGGGGATCTAGAAATAAAGCGTAAAATCAATTTAAGGAATTTTTATTTAGTGGTTATCATGTTCAAAAGACTGTGTTTGGGCATGTTGTTATATTAAGAGGAGAAAGAAAGGTTTTAGCCATCATGGACCTTATAGTTTAGTAGGAATTATATCTTGTGCGGAAGCATAGCCAGGTGTGATGTGCATTACTACTTGATAAATGCATCAGAAAGGCATAATAGTAAGTGTTACGCAAGGTTATAAGGGAAAGTAGTGGGTGGATGAGAATTTGGGAAAGTTTTCTTATGGGGCCTTTGGACTGAGATTTCAGGAATGAGTGGGGCTTCATCAAAAAGGAGATACCATGAGGTGAGATCAAGAATAGATAAACAATAGTTAGCAGGTAGTGTTATATATTTAGAAAATATGCCCACGGAAATATGAAGCATGGTGGAAAGTACTTGGGAAGAAATCAGTGGAGGGAGAAACAGAAATGATAGTGCTGTTGAAATAGATCAAAGATCACCTGGACAGGTAGGAAATAGATGAGGAATATGTGAATCACAATTCTGATATAGAGACTTTGATGTCGTAGTTGATGAGAAACTTCATTTATCCAGATGTCTGTTAGGGCTCTCTCTGCCCAAAACAGAGAAACCAGTTATTTCATTTGTTTCAGTGATAATTTTATCCTTCAGAAAGTAGAGAAGGAATGCAATTCTGGAACTCAATCCTAAGAGGGAGGAAGTGGTTACTGGGGTAAAAATGATTGGAAACTTGTGGGCAAGTGGCCATCTGTCTTAAAATTTGTGATAAAGAAAAAAAAGGAAAGCAGGCCTTTTCTGACATGCATTTTTTTGGGGGGGGGAAGATCTCAAAGGTATCAGAGGAATATAGATAGGATACCATGGCCTAAAATTCTGCAGGGGAAATCAGCCTGAGAGGGATGAAAAGTTATTGAGGATGAAATTTTGAGGACACAAAAATAAGTATTTACAATAGGAAAGAAAAAAGGGAGTTTATAAAGCAACAGAGGGAACTCAAACTGAATTTGTAAAAGACATGTACAAAAGATGGAAGAAGGAACAGCTATCGAAGAATATACACAAGATTGAGAACCTGAACTAGAATGATGCCTTTGTGGTTAGAAAGGATAGAGATGTGGGAGGAGAGGTAGAATTGAACATAGTAGAGAAAGGAAGAGGAAAGGATCAAAGATGACTCCAAGATTACAGAGCCAGGTGACTGGCAGTGTGGGGACCTATGCAAAAGAATTATAGGTTTAGAAAATGGGTAGATTTGGGGGAAAGGTGCTAAGTTCCATTTGAAACATGGGAAATTTTGGGATGCTGATGAGACATCTGCAGGTAGCAGGCAGTTGGAGATTTAGGAATAGAGTTCAGAAGAGAGATTAAGTCTAGATATGTAGATTTTTTTGTCATCTGCAATGAGATTTTAAGTAAGCTCCAAGAAGCAGCTGGGATAACCAAGAGGCTAGAGTGAAAAAAGAGGAGTCAGGAAAGAGCCTTAAGTGAAACCCAAGAGCTGACTCATACCTGAACAAAGGAGTTTTTCTCAATGTAAAATGAATATAATATTAGTCCCACTACAGATCTTACCTCTTTGTGAGGTAAGCCCTTTTTCAACCTTCAAGCACTGTAGAAATAGTAGTTATTTTATTATAATGTAGGGTTTGCTAGTCTTAGATAAGTTGTAACTCTTGTTAGCCAACCTCACACTTCACACCATTTTCCTCGTATTCAAACCTGTATACAGGTGTAAGTGAAAGATTTTTTTCTTTGCACTTGACTGTTCTCTTTTACGATATTTTGGTTGTTCTTCTAGCTTCTCGTTAAATTTGCCTATATGATGCTTCTCTCTTCACTTCCCTGTTCCCTCCCCCAATACTCCTACACATACCCCCCCCCACAAAATCTACTTTTGTGGGCAATTTCATTCACTGTCTGTGACCCCCATTGCTGTACTGATAGATGGATATATTCCTTCCACAAATACTGCTCACAGCCTTCTATTTCTGAGTGAGATGGCTGCTTTGGCAGAGAATTTCATCACCTTCAGCATTAACCTAATAATGAGATTCTCCTGACTACTGAACTGGTCCTCAGATGAAAGACATAAAACTGTTTGCCAAACCTTTGGTCTTTCTAGGCTATTCAGAAGTACTCCAAATTATGCTTGCTGATGTAGCTTTTGAGAAACCAGTGCTCCCTCCCATACTCCACTGAGGCACTAGGGTAAAACTTTAGTGGAAACAAATATGTTCCTTGCATATATTTGCAAATCTTTGTAAACAAGTTCAGAATATTTGACAGGCATAGGATATAAATATTTAGGAAAAGAAAGAACCGATTACACATAAATGGTTGTTTCAGGAAGTTGGATAAGTGACTATTGCAAAACTAACATGAATACAGAAACTTTGCTTCTTTTTGTTTTTGGTAGGGTTGAGCTGTGGAGAGAACCAAACAAATCCCTGGGCATCAGCATTGTTGGTGGACGTGGGATGGGAAGTCGGCTAAGCAACGGTGAAGTGATGAGGGGTATCTTCATCAAGCATGTTCTGGAAGATAGTCCAGCTGGCAAAAATGGAACCTTAAAAACGGGAGATAGAATAGTAGAGGTATCCTACAATATCATTTTCCTGCACTGAATATTTTATTTTATTTTCTAAGGGAAAAAAAAATTTTCACTATTTTTCAAACATTATAGTGGAGCTCAGTCTGAGTCAATGAGAATATTTCCTCTACACCTTAAAAATGTATATATGTATTTGGTGATGTTTTTATTCACAGGAGACCCATTCATGAACTTCCTGAAGGAAAAAAAAATGTATATTGATTTTTCTTACAAAGCTCTTTACAAACAGAATTATAAATTTGTTGATTTTAAATTGACAAACTTTTTTGTATAAAGCAAGGAAAATTTTATTATCACTTTTCTCTTGCAGGTTAATTTGATTGTTTTTTGGCTTTTCTTAGTGGATCATTCCTGTGACATCTTTAATTCCCCTTGTACCCCAGAGGAAAAATTTTCCATCATCCATATTTTATATAGTTGCCAAAAGCTTTAATTTAGCATATGCAAATGTATCTATGTTTTAAAAATATATGTAAGTATGAATACTAGAATGTGTGATTTTGTCAGTATGGACAACTGCAAGGATGGGAACTAATCTGAGAGCTACTTATTTAGTAGATAAGCCCTAGGGAGTTGCTTTAATTACTGAGAGGTTAGTATGGCTTGTCTCCAGTCACTTGGATGATAAGGGTCAGAGGCAAGATATTGTATCTGTGTTTTTCTGACTCCAAGTCCATAATTCTACCCACTATGCAACACTGCCTTTCATAAATATGTATTCTGTACGTATGGACATAAATTTAAATTATCCCAAAGAGAGAGAATCAGGTAATATCAGTCTCAGGACAACCTGAGTTCAAGTTGTGTCTATGACATTTAATGGCAGCATGATCCTTGGCAAATATGTGACCTCCCAGTAATAAAGTAAACTCTTAAGACTCTAAGTTGTGATAGGCAAGCTACTGTCATTGATAGAGAGTCAACCTCAGAGTTAGAACGATCCACTTGTAAACATCTTAGTTGTTTGATCTTTTGCAAGTCACTGATCCTGTGATCCTCCGTGTGGAAGAGAGGATAGATAGCTCCCTTTCTTTTCATTTCTTTTTTAGATTATGTGATTATGCAGATTGGAGAATGGTGGGCTTTTCTATTTGATGATACTTCCCTTCTCAATAACTCATAGTCACCCACCTATCATTAGAAAGCCTATTGACTACCTTTCAAAAAAATCTTAGAAGTCTAAGAATATATCCTTTTTCTTTCTTGCACTATCACAAAGCGATTTCTTCCATGTGTCCTTTACAGTAAATTTCCTTGACCGAACCAGAAAGGACAATATATTGAAAACTTCTCCCTCAGAGGGGAACACCCTTCCATTTTTGCACAATGTTGTCTGAATGGACATTCTCAGTCAAACAGGGAGTCGCATCACTCCCTTGCAGTTAGAGAATAAGTCACTTTCATATGCTTAAACATGACAGTCAGTGGCATGTCTCTATTAAGAAATTCTGATCTATTAAGAATGGGAATTCTACAAAAAGGTTGAAGGCTTGTTAATGTTCACTGAAAGATGCACAATTAAGTAATCAGACCATTTTACTGGCAGAGATTTTCTAGTGTAACTGGAAATGATTCACGTTCTAAAAACAATGGTATTCTATGCATATAGCTCATATTTTTTCCTTTCCAGAATTGTCCCTGTTGATCTTGACTTTGCTGTTTGGAGTTAGCATATACCACATCTGTAATCACTGGAGATGATGAAACCATGATTATGATTCTCTTTATTTTCCCACCAGGATTAGCATTTGACCTTTAGACTGTTTCTTTTCATTTTTTCTATTTTCTATCATTTGGTTATGATTCAGATAGTCTATTATATTAGACAAAACATAACTTTAACTTTTATTTTAAGGCTATTTGTGTAAAAATTACTAACAAATAAGCACGTTTCTTGGCTTCCAGCACCTATCATGTCTATTGCAAAAAAAAAAAAAAACAAAAAAACAAAAAACCTCTTTTTGCAAAACTAACCTTACCATAATATTGAATATTCCTGGGCACCAGAATAGGTTCTTCTTTATCAGAGGAACTGTACATTGAATAAGAAAAAGAGAATGACTGAAAAAAGAAGGGGAAATAATCCTCATTACTCCACAAGAAGTATTATATTCAGCCATCTTTAAGTGGTAAAGAAAAAAGTTAAAAGATTTTCACCATAAAAGTTATGTGACTGTTGAATTTATTTACATCATTCCTTAAATGATACTGATGTGTTCATTATTTAAGAAACAACTTAGCAATATTAAGAAAAAATAAAGAATGCTCAGTTCCTTTTTGTCAATCAGGTTTACTGGAAGTCCTGAATTTCTTATGACAAATGCACTGTCCCAGCTGAATTCTCAACAAAGTTGGTTTTAGAGCTTGCCAAAATGCCAAAATTCTTTCAAAGCTTTGAACAGATATTCCTGATGCCCTCGTGGTAAATGATTCTCACTCCTGAGACCTACAAAATGCTCCATTTTCACTTTAGCTTCTTATAATGTTAAGCTGAGGCCTTCCATTGCAGGTGGATGGAATGGACCTCAGAGATGCAAGCCATGAACAAGCTGTGGAAGCCATACGGAAAGCAGGCAACCCTGTACTCTTTATGGTACAGAGCATTATAAACAGAACGAGGGTAAGCATCTGCAAAGTGTAGAAGAGGCATTTGAAAATCTTCCTTGATTTAGAGTTTAATGAAGGGTCCAATTGTCTGTGCAAACAAAGACAGTGATTCTTGAAATCTCTAAGAGACTTGTTGCAGATTTTTTTTTTTACGATACAGAATCCATGTGGAAATCATTTCTAATTTGATTTATACAAACTGGAAAAGTCCTATTGAAAAAGCTATCAACAAGATGTATTGGTGGCCCTAGAGGTCTGATTCAGACTATGGTCACAAAGGATTTAAGGAAAACTCGTTAAAGAGAAAAGCAGTGTGATAGTAGATAACTGGAACATTCAGTGATTACCAAAGATAATATCTTAACAATCAGTAGAGAGCACTGTACTTTCATAATTCTATTCTCTAAATAATCTTCTGTGCTAATCAAAACCTATGATCACATGTGAATGAGCCTTTCTGTATCTGTGTGCACCACTTAAAACTAAACTTCTCGTTATGGATTCTGTATAAACTGCATGTCTATTTACTAGTGGTTTCATAACTTTTGTTTCCCAGCCAGAGTCTGTGTCTAGCACCTCATCAGCATCTGCTCTCTGTGGGCAGAAACCTACTAACCCATTTTACCATCAGTCATCTCAGGTAAAGTGATTTAAAAAAAATGTTTAATGAATTGTTTTGGGGACAGAAATGCTATCTTTAGACATTAGAAACTATAATGACCTCTAAGAATGAGCATTAGGCCAGCAGTTTATGATAGGGTATGTTTACTTAAGGCTTAATTTCTTTGTGAAATTTTCTCATAGCTGGCTTTAATTAGGGATGTGATGTATTGAAAAGTCTGAGAGACATAATTTCTGGGTAATTAATAACTGTTTTATTAATTGTGACTAGCAGATCATTAATAAAATGATGGTCATTTGTCTTTCTCTCATAAACCAAAGACAAATCAATTTATGTAGGCCACTTGACACTTATATATCCTTGGTAGAATGGGTATTCCCAGTGGCCAGAAATCAACTATGATTGGTTAACAACTAATGAGAGAATACATATTATAGTGAGAGGTAGGCTTATTCTAATGAGGAGCTAGGGACTTGACTTTAGAAAAAGTTTAAGAAGCCTTGATCTGTACAAAAGGATCTATCCTCTACTATCTATGAACAATGGTGGGATAAGAATTCCACCTAGATAACATGGTTTGGGTGGGGTGAATTCTTTGGGCAGGGTCCGAAATGCTCTGGAAAGTCTGAACTTTGAATGAGGAAACAGAAAAGCAAAAAAACCTGGATTCCTTCTCCCCCCCCCTACATATTAATTGGTTATTAATATGAGAGAAATAATAATTTCTCTCAGGGATATCATGCACACTTTAAGTTCAACTATCTTTATCAAGTCACTTAAAATTAAAATGCAAAATTCTTCCAATCTAATTTTATGATAGAAAGGGATTTGAATACTTTCTATATCCTTTTCCTGAACATTGGACCTGTTGGTTAGTTGCATAGGGAAACACCAACAAATAGGTAGTGCAATGTGATCAGGAAAGCTAAATTGTTAATACTCAGAGGCCTAAGTGACAAACAAAATACTGGATTTCTCTTACTAATTCTTACTTTTGTTATCAGGACAGGTGTAGCTCTGGGCTGGGTTGACTGTAAGAAATTAATTTAGTAGTTCCAACTCTAAGTAGCTATCTTCACATCTGCAATTCATAATTATCCAGTTGTTTATTGTTAGATAATAATTATCCATTCAATTGAGAAAATCTATGAAATGGTAGGGTAGCATCATAATGCATTCCATATAAATGCTTTTCAGCTTGTTTAAATAATTATAAATCTTGATACATTCATGCTTCCATTTGTTGTGTTAAACATAGATACAGCAAGATAACATTGGCATAGCTTGTTTAAATGACGTTAAAGCTATTTTTTTTTTAGTTTCCAACTTCTGTATTCGAGACAATAATATAAACTGCTGATTAGTAATTCACAGGATTACCTTTAGAGCTTCATAAACATTTCTCTCAGTGCCAATCATAACTTCTTAATGTTTTAAGACCAGACATCTCTCTACCACAGATAAAGGTATCCTGCTTTAATATTAAATGTATTCTTATTCCTGATAAAATAGTGCTTTGATATGTGAATGAGTCCATGCTTTCATTGGTATGGCTATTCTTTCCACTCAGTTGAACAAAAGCCCTCCACACCTCTTAATGAGATTTTTGGCACTGTTTTTGGGTAAACCCTCCATGTAGCACTCACTTTACATGATGTACTACTTCCCTTTGGTTTTATTATCTTAGGAGTACCTGTATCTTAGGAGTACCTCAGTCTGTTTACCTATTTCTTCAAACTGTTTCAAGATTTGAAGACAGATCTCATCTGAATTGATTTAATCAGAATTCATCATAATGTTTATAGTGAGGTTTATTTACCTTTTTTGACACTTCTTCTTCCTGTTGTTTATATTCCTATTCCTTATAACTCTATGGGAAAATGTACTTGAGTTTTACTAGCTGATGTTTTTGCACAGTAGGTACCTGCCCATTATAGGTATAAGATAAGTTTGCTTGTAAATTGTCCTAAAAGTTATAACTGCCAATGAATCTGGCAGGGCCTTTATCTCTACTTTATAGCATTTTACACAACAGAATGGTGCATAATAGACTGATGAATTCAGTGAACCAGTCTCCCATTTGAAGTGGGTTCAGTCAGTGCAAAAAGAGCCAAATTTCTCTCTTCTCTCTCCCACTGCAACCCTATTTTTTTTTCCAGTTAATAATCCTCCAGTTTGCTGTCATTGGCTCTTGAGGATGTAAATATAAATGGCAGTCACTGACTTTTCAATGTGAATTCTGTTCCATTTCTATAAATTTTTAGGTAATAATAAGAAGAATGTTTAAGTGATCTATCATTCCATACTGTTCATACTGTGTTCATACTGTTCTTCTATACTCTAATGTCAGGGCCAACTTCAAATCCCGGGTAACCTACAAATAAAAAGTAACTTAAGAAATTTGGTTAGTGATAAATACAGCCATTTCCTGGATTTTTATGATTTCTAAAGTTTTCCATAGTATTACATGGGGAGGGTGAACATTTCATAGGAAAAGCAGGGTGATGTAGAGTACAGGTTTGTGCAGTTATGGCCAGATCACCTCCCTTTTCACGCCCCAGGAAACTCTGTTATAGATGATTTGACAATTTACATCGGTAGAGGAAGTTTCTACTTTGGGAGTTTCTTAAACAAATTAAATAATAGCTCTAGACCAGAAAACCAAAGAATCTCACATTAAATTTTATTAATAATAATGGTTGACATTTACATGGTACTCTGCATGTCATGTTATCTTCACACCAGCCCTTTGAGGTAGATAATCTACCAGTATTATTATACCCATCTTACAGTTAAAGAAATCAAGGTTCAGGAGGTAAGCAACTTGCTCAGACTCCTACCTAAGAAGTACTAGAAGTGAGATTTCAATTCAATTCTCACTCCAGTCCACATCCAGCATTCTTGTTACTGTAACATATTACCTTTCATCTGTTCCTTCAAAACAGTCATTCCCATTTATAGGTTCATGAACCCTTTGGGAGTTTGTGACAACATTCTGAGGAGTTCCTGGTAGCAATTCCTTAATGTTTCTTATGCAGTAAATAAATGCAGGATACTGTAAATAGTATATTAAATTACCCTGGGGATTCACAACACATTTTTGTTTTTGTTGTTATTGTTATTGAAAGGAGTTTGTCCAAGACCAAAGCAACAAAACATTGGGAACCACTGCAACAAAATTCCTGTTGCTAAAATGCTAAAGGAGTGCCATCTTATTCCCTACAAAAGATTAAACCATTGGACCTAGGATATTTTGTTCTCCTCTCCATAATCATCTTTATCAAATTGTTAAATGACCATATTAACTTTGGTATTTTAATGCAACAAGTGTTATTGAATGATGCAACACGTACAAGGCACCAGGCTAGATCATGGAATGCAAAACTGAAAAATGACAAGCCCTGTCTTCAATGAGACTAAAATCCAATGGTTTTCCACTTGGTAAAATGAAGAATTTAAGCTAAAAACTTTATTAAAAAGCCCTGTAGAGTCTAAGAACAAAAGTGTCAGTGTGCCCATTTTTTATTTATTTCCTCCCTTTGTAGGAAAACACTAAGAGAACAGCAGTTAGAAAGAAGACTGTGGCATAAGCTTTAGTAGAAATTTGTATCTGAATATTTCACTAGAATACAATCATGCCAGAGTGCAGTGTCATGGCACATGACTCTACCATAGCCTATACTTAATGTCTGCCAACAAGACTTTTATGAGGAGAAATAGCACAAACATCTAACTAGAGCTGAAATGAATTTTAAATGTATGAGATTTTTCTCTTAGAAGATACATGAAATAAAAGAATAAGAAAATTTGAAAAATAAGGGTGGGGAAATATCCCCCCCAGGAAAAAAAACCAAAACCAAAAACTATGGAAACACTGGATTACAGTGGGCATACATCCTTCTTTTCAATTTATTAGGCTCTAGAAATACTGGCTTATAGATTATTACAGACAAGTTAAAAAATAGAGACTGCAAGGAACTTTCATAGGCTATTCCTGAGGTCTTTCACTTCCTTTCAGGGAAATTTATTCAAGTTGATTCCCCTGTGTCCCATCTTCTTCTTCTTTGGATTTCACCCACAACTTCCCCAAACCCTATTTCTCATTCCCTTTATCCCCAGCAACAGGAAGAGGAAAACAGAAATTGACAAAATTTATTTCTTCAACTATTTGTTTTCTTTACCTTTTGTTTTTGTTTTTGTTGTTAAGCATGAAATAATCAAAGAAATAACTTTAACAACTAATAAAAGTAATAATAGTACAATGGAAAATGGGAAAGAGGGCATAGCTGTGGAGATTCTGGAACTGGCACACTATAATGTTTTGTTTTGTATTTGAATATATACATATATAATGGAATGTAAAATTATTTCTATTTTCTGAAATGAGGAAACAAATGTACTTATTACAATACTTTAAAATATAGTGGGGGCATCTATATGTCAACATCTATGTATGTGTGTTTATGTATTTGTTGATACAATGAATAATACAAAGGCATTCTCTTGGGGTGGGGCCATCATCAGACAAACCAGTTTCCATATTTAAATTTATGAGCTGGTTTTGACCCTTGTGAACTCCTTATTTTTATTTCTTAACATTTAAAAGGAGCATCAATTATTTTGTTTTTAGGTTAAACACTTTTAATTTCAGATTATTTAAGTATTCTGATTATATTAATAATTAGATCTAAAAGCTAAATATAGTTATATACACATATAGCTTATAATAGAATATATTCCATTTTAGCTCTGAAGCCATACGTGAGAACTGCTTTTCTTCATAGGTCCTCTTCTGTTTCCTTTTAGAAACCCCCCTTGCCTTCCCTGCCGTACAACCTTCACACTAAGTACAGTTTCAGCAGCACTAACCCCTTTGCTGATTCTCTGCAGCTCAACACTGACAAGGTTGGATAATGCCTTTAGCTTGCAATTCCTCTTTCCAAAAGCGCTGTGTACTTTGTTATTGCTTTAATGAATTCTTAATTTACATTGCTAAATTTGATCTGGAAAACAAAAAAAAAAAAAACAACCAAACTTTTGCGTTTCTAGGAGGCATGCAATTACTCTTTTAAACAGATTGTCTATACTAGATCCAGTTCATTTTTGCAACTGAAATTAGATGTCCCTTATGAACAGTAAGGGTGATTGTTCTGTGTTTGTCTTTTTTGTGTAGTTTTGATTTTTTGATATTAATGTTGTCTGTAAATGAATTATTTTTTTCTGTTCAACTTATGAAAAGTTATTTGTGAAAACTTTGCACTGTTGCAAACAATTTTAAAACTACTACATTAACAGATTTGTCCATAGTAGTAACAGAATAGTATGTCTACATCTGCCCTCCTTATGTAATAGTGGATATGAGTCTATTTATATTCCCAAAATGTTGTGATGATAAGTGTCTGGACCAAGAAGAAGCATACGCAGTTCTGCTTCTGTAGACTTTATATGAAAATTAGTATTCTGGTAAATTTGGAAAACCTAGAAAAAATTAGCAGGCATTAAAAAAAACTGTATACTGGTATTTGATCATAGAAAGGGTTGAATTTGCCATTCATGTCTATGAGGAAGCATTTCATGAATTACAGCAGATTTTTACCCATCTTTAATATGCAAGGGATTATATACTATAAGAATGTGCATAATTGAAGTTGATAATAATCCATAATATGTGGAATATTATTTTCTGTTACTGTAGGGTGTACAGAATCCAGGTAGAGTTACCTTCCGTTGTTCCCCAACTAACCCTTTTGCTCCCACACCATTTAAGGTTTGTCTCCCTGTGTAGTTTTATACGAATAAGTGCGTGTGTTGCATTTAGTGTGCTGTGATTGATGGTTGCCATTCATGTGTGCGTATATATGTGGCATGTAATATTTTCAGAATAGCTTATGTTTTCTACCTTATGTGCTATCCTGAAAGCTATAAAATATGCATGTTAAAGGATTATCATTACTATTAAGGAATGTGTAGAGTGCCAACAATGAGCTAATTCATAAGCTCAGTGGGAGGAGGTGTGTCAGTGTTAATGAAATGGACTTCACTCACTCTTCCAGTAGGTAAAAGGCTAGTCTTAAAGAGTTCATGTATTTTGCTATAGCAACATTTAGGTTTGCACTGTGCACTTTTGAAAGATTTTACTTTATCTTAAGGAGTATTTCTAACAAGCTGATGTCTTCAAGGAAGATACCATTCAGCAAATACACATTAAGTTGCTGCTATGCTCAGAGAGCTGTAGTAGTCACCAGGGGCAATAGGAAGTTTAGATAAGCCATAGACCTTGTGAGAGATAAGATACACATATAGCTAATTAAAATAAACATTACACAGCACGTGTATCAGAGTTGCAAAGCAAAGTCAAGTTCAAGGTAGAAAAGTAATTTCTGACCTAGGGATGAAGGATGGAATTTGATGGAGTTGGCATGAGCAGGCTTGAAAGGATTGTTAGGAATTCAACATGGAAAAAGGAAGGGAAATTCCACACATAGGGCATAATGTGAGCTAAGATAGAAATGTGTTAAAAGCTGGATTGTTGGGTAGAGGGTAGGTGAAAGTATAGCCTATTTTTAGCTGTAACAGATACTGCATGAAGTGAAGTGGATCAAGATAAGGCTGGGAAGGACCTAGAATTCCAGGCAAAGAAGTTTGCTAACTACATTCTAGCCTAAATAGAACTCATTTATGTAAGACGTCATGCCATAATTTTGTTGGGAGCCATACAGTCTGCATTTCTAGATTTGCCAAAATTCTCTTAGAGTTTTGGGAAGCTTATATTTTAAGTTTGCTCATTGCTTTATTTGGTAAAATTTTCCTAATTCTTACTTTTCCATCATTTCCATTTATCATAAAAAAGTTACCCTTTTTTTATAACTGAAAAATTTTAGAGACATTTCTATAATGTATTATTAATAAAACTTGACTGAATCGTATGAGCCATGTGAGATTAATACAAAGCTCATCTTGGGTGAAATTTGGAGCAGCCTCACATTTTTTTTAAGATCACAAAAGCTTCATTTGTTATAGCAATATTTAGGCTGGTTAGATAACATTTTGTTAATGGAAAAGCTCATTCATTATATAGCAGGCTTTGTTATGCAGCAGTCTTTGTTAATCAAAATCATCATGTGATCAGCACTTTGTTGTGACAGGGCAGTTAATATGCATAATAATAACTCCTTGGTACTTTGAAATTCTGATGTCCTTTTCTGAGTCATTTTCATGGTATCTTCAAAAAAGGATTGGACTTGAAGCATTGAACTCTGGAATCCTGGAACTGAGTTCAAATCCTGACTCTCTTCCAAATTCTTTTGTAATTTAAGGCAAATCAATTAACCTCTTTCTGGGCATCATTTTCTTCATCTATAAAATGTGAGGATAAATTACTTCTCAATCCCCTTCTGTTTCTATGAGCTACATAATTACTCAACATAGTCTTTATTTTAACATGCTGTCATGAGAGGAAATTTAATATAGCAGGTAGATATCCATCCTTGAGGCCAGAAGGACTTGGCCTCTGATTGAGATTCATACGGGCCTGTGTGACCAAGTCACTTAATTTCAGTGCTCTAGGCCAAAGAGGTCAAACATACTGGAGGGCCCCCTGTGGGCCCACCTTTCCTGAGTGCCATCCAAATCAGATTAAAATATAATTGGAAATATTTGACAAAATAAATAAAAAATAGAATGAAACAGATATTATTAATATATGGCTTGCTAAGTCAATGTGTAGCTCACAGGAATCCTTATGTATGGTTTAGTGGCCCCACTTTGACACCACTGCTCTAGGGAAATTCTCGTAAGACTAAATTGCAGAGAAGGTTTTGCTTTACCTTGATAGAGGGAGTTTCCTCATCCAGAAGGTCCCTGTACTAATCAAATTGTAGGTCCAGTTGTTATCACTATTCTGCCATGTGCTGTTTATTTGAACAGCTGATTGAAAATCAGTTAGCACCTATTATTATGTACCTAATATTATGTAACTAGGAGCTAGGAGAAGTTGGTTGCCCAAGAAATAAATTTTAGTCCCTGCCCAGGCATATATGTACAAGAAGCAATGAAGACTAAGATGAAATACAGGCAACAGTATAATAGGAGGGAGAAAAAGGAAAATGATCAGTGTAATTTTAGACATACCAGGGAAGGCTTTGAAAGCTCATGGTACTTGCATTTCTGGGGTCTTTTCTTCTCTTGGGAAATCAGTATTAAAATTGTGGCATGCAAATATATACATATACCCAGACTTTAATAGTGGTTTAATGATTGCTTATTTGCTGGGTAACTATAACTATGCCCACTCATATATAAATAATCCAAAGTGATATATGTACATACATATATATCGCTTTGGACTTATTTATATTTAGAGCAAATATTTTTACATTTGCCCCTCCTCTGAAGGTGCCAGTGTTCCAGTGTATTGGCCTGGACTCATTTTTCTAAGACGGTGAAGTTCTATGCAAAAATAGGTCTGTAATCTGAACTGTCAGGTTGGGATCAGACTAGATGACTCTCAGACATTCCATCTTATTCCACGATTCTCTGATTCCATAAAGACAAGAGTCAGGAAGTAATAGTAATGATAGATAACATTTATATAGTGCTCTATGGTTTGCAGAGTGCTTTATGTATGCTTTCTCATTTGTAGAGTTGAGAATCCTGAATTCATAGCTCATTTTCTTCACAAGAGGGGCATATGAAAAATGCATGCAAAAATTCAATGTAAATCTAAGGTGTGTGTTTTGTAGACATTTCAGTTGAGCTACTATTTCAAAGCAGGATGTCTCAGTTAACTTCCTTTTAATTTCTTGAAAGAACCTGCCAAATCCCTCAAGCCTCACCCACTCCATCTGCATATTTATGAAAAAATTTGAATGAGGAATTTTTTTAAAGGGGAAGTTTGTGCTAATTTCCTATGATAGTCATTTCAGTCTTCAAAACTGAATGATTCTTGACTTTGAAAATAACACATAACAGTCTATTAAATTGGACTTTGAATTTTTGCTGTGTTTAATACGTTTAGACTTTAACTGAATCTTGTCAATCATAGTATACATGTGATCGAATGCCATCACTTTCCCCTATATCTTTCATTCCACAATGTAACTGCTATGTGTTTGAAACATTAAAGTCATAGTTGTTATTGTTTCCTACTTTTTTTTTTCATTCTGTGAAGTTTTCTGGTCCTTAGACTGCACATATTTACTGCATTCTTCTTGTTCTCCACAGGCATCTAGTCAGTTGGATTCAGAGACTGAAAAGTCTTCATTCCCCAGCTTGTCTCTGCCCCCTCCTTCAACATTTTCTGGAATGAGCAGTGATACTGAAGAGTCATGTTCCAGCAAAGTCTCAGAAGATGGAGACAAAGAAGACGAGTTTGGTTATAGCTGGAGTAAGTTGTTGTGTTGGAATGGTCTTTGGAAAGGAGTGTTAAAATAGACAGGTTTGGGTCCAGGTGAATGCCTGTTTAGTTTCCTTAAACGGAATAATCTGAAAATGAAAATTATTCATGGTTTTGCTTGAATATAGCACACATTCCTGAAGCAACAAATCATGTTTTTCTTTCTTTTTTAAAATCCTCTTTATACAGACTTTCCCATTTATAGTGTTTACTATAAAGAGACTTCCATGAAAGCAAGAATAAATGGGCTCCCTTTGATGATTAAATTGTTTATAATTAATTATAGTTGGTATGCATGTATAATTGATAGTCTAATCGTTATGGTCTTTTGGCCTCAACGTAGAGACAACGTGATCTAGGAGTGAGCAGTAAACTAGACCTGAAAGCTGAATCCTTTCTTACTTTGCAAATGTGAGAAACTCAAAAAATTTCACTTTTACTTTATTGATATTTAAAATAAAAGGGAATTCCAAGAGCTATTCCTATTTACAGTTATGTTTTCAGGATTACAGCCTCAAGAATGTTTATTTTGCTGTGCTCATGAAAAGTACATTAGTATACAAGCAATTTTCCATCAGGGAAAGCAAGACTTATCTCCAGGTTAAGGTTCCCTATAGGTAATTCAGGAGATTTGCATTTTAGCCCTGGTTCTGCCATTAACTAGTTGCATTATGGTGAACAAATCAATTTAATATCCCTATGTGTCAGTTTGCTCATATGGCGTAGTGAAGACTTCGATTTAAATTACATCCAAATTACTTTGTAGCTTTCAAAAAACAAAAAAGAAAAGAAAAAGGCCATCTTCTAAGAAAATTAACCATTCTAAAAGGCAAAGGAGGGAGGTTCTTTAATTTTGCCAAAGTTGTTAAAAAGAAGGCAATGTTTCTTTTTCTTTTTTTTTTTTTAAGATTTAAGTTAAAGTACCTTTCTTCAAAAAATGACATAGGAAACTGAAGAAACAGCATAAAGTATATAATACTTACAAAGGAGGTGGTAGCATTTGGAGATTGAAACTAAGTAATGATGATCAAAGTTCTTAGATATTAATAACAATAATTAGCTCCTGAAACCTGCTCACTTTCAATTTTATATAGAAAATATCCTTCAGCGCTATGGAACCCTAGCTGGTGAACTCTTCATGATTGAACTAGAAAAAGGCCGAACTGGTTTGGGCCTGAGTCTTGCTGGAAACAAAGATCGATCAAGAATGAGTGTCTTTATAGTTGGAATTGACCCAAATGGTGCAGCTGGGAAAGATGGTCGACTGCAGATTGGAGATGAACTTCTGGAGGTAACTTTCTTGTGATATACTACTCTGTGATACATACTGAAGACAAGAAAATCCTAGTAAAAGATAGAATCACCAATTTGCAATGCAGCAATAATTCACTCTTATCATTTTATTGTGGAAAAAAAAAGGGTCTCATTGATGATTGAAGGTCAGGTTGGCTTTACCTAAATGACCATGGGTTAGTCACCTAACCTCTCTGACTCCTTATTTGCTAATCTGTAAAATGGGATTTATAGTACCTACATTACATATTTCGCAGGATAACTGATGAGGAAGGTGCTTTGTAAAAATGAAGCACTATAAAATATAGTATAAAATAAAAGCACACCCTAGAACTTCTGTTGCCCATGAGTCAAACAGAGACTCATTTGGGACTCTGACCACGGAGATTTCTGTTAGATACTAGGAAACTGGCAGCAGTCACAGCAGGAAGATCCTCTGAATAATTTGAGTAGCCTGTTAATTGATGAGAGAGCCAGATCGTAAGTGACTGGAGCTAATAGAAGACGGCAAGCTCCAGTGACTTCCTGCTTGCCTGACAGATGCCTTAGACTACTAGAGCACATGGTGACTAATCTCAGACACTGCATGGTCATTAAACTATGTGGTTTATGTGTGTGTGTTGTGTATGGGGTGGGGAAAGAGAGACAGAGACAGAGGGATAGAGCTAGATAGAAGGAGAAACAGAGAGGGAGAGAGAGATGATCTTTATTTCTACTCTCAGAGATTGATGGTTAAACATAAACACACACATACGTACATTATATGTGCTTGTGTGTATGTATGTATGTTAAGACAGTTATTTCATCAGAATGATCAAAAGTGACACACACTATACTTTTTAAAGATAGTGTTTTATGAATTAGAGAAATCTAAATTTTAAGGCTAGTCTATATTTGTTTTATACAGATAAATGGACAAATTTTATATGGAAGAAGTCATCAGAATGCCTCATCAATAATTAAATGTGCCCCATCAAGAGTAAAAATCATTTTTATCAGGTAAGCCTTATTTTCCTATTGTTTTCCAAATGCTTTAGCTAGCAAGTCAATTGTACATTCTTTTCTGTTTATTCCACAAATACTAACTAGATGTCTACTGTGTCAAAGCATGAATGAAAAACAAAACGTATATTTTAAAAAATAAATAAATATCACAGATTTCTATTTTAGTGCCTAACTGCCACCTGTTACTGTAGACAGATATGTTATTTAAATTGAACTTAGCATGATTATACTTTGTTTTCTAGAAATAAAGATGCAGTGAATCAAATGGCTGTTTGTCCTGGTAAAGGACTGGAAGGTTTACCTTCTACTGTAGAGGCTCTTCAGAATCAGGAGGTATCTTAGTTACATATTTTATTTCTTTGTGAAAGGACTTAATTTAGTACTCTGTAGAGTGATGCTCAAATTGATTAGGACAAAGTAAAATAATCGAATTAATTGATATAGGTACCTTAATTTTTTACATATTTAAAAATCTTTTCACATACAGTATATTCTCTTTTTACTGCAGTCACTTGTCTTACATGATTTAGCATTAAATTTCCAGTCATTTGTCACGTATTCTTTAATTCTTTAATGTATGAGGCATGCAGGTGGCACAGTGGATAGAACGTTGGGGTCTGGAGTCAGGAAGACCTGAGTTTAGATATGACTGCATAGTCTTACTAGTTGTGTGATCCTGTACTAGTCACAGAGGTTACTTTGCCTCAGTTTCTTCATCTGTAAAATTGTATGATAATACCCTGTACTTCCCAGGATGGTTGTGAAGATAATAATTATAAAGAACTTTGCAAATTTTAAAGCACTATGTAAGTGTTAGCTATTATTATAACTAATTCTTCATCATTAAACAACACTTACCATCCTAAATGCACCTTTGACAGTTCATTTTTCCACATCTAGCCTTAATTATACTCCTTAGGTTTCCATCATTAAAGTGTGCTCTTTAAGAACTACAGGTCTTATATGTTTCTTTGGAGTAATATCAGTTCCTAAGTGCTACAGAATTAAAATACAACAAAAAAGCACACGTGTGTGATGCAAAATATAGCGGTCGACTAACAGAGAACTGTGCTAAGTTGGGAAAATCAGCTAAATTCTGTGTTGTTGATCAAAGGTTCCGGATCGTGTCAGTGGTAGTAAACACACACACACATGTATATACACACAATTGCTGTCACAAAATGGTACCAAATTGCTTATCCTACATAATTTGCACACCACTACAAATTTCGGTAATGATTTAAAAATATTCAAAATTCTCTAAACTAATCCACAAAGTTTATGCAATTGTTAAAGCAGATAAAAAAAGCCTTTTATTTGTCATACCAGGATGTACTATTGGGCCAATATTTGTCATCCACAATCCTCAGTTCATTTCTATTTGATTCAAAAAACAGTTTTCAAACTGACACATTTAAATGATGATTAGTTTCATTTAGAGGAGAGAAAAGTGGAAAAAAGAATGGTTGATGGATGCTGAGGAAGAACCTGCTGTTTTAGGGCATTTGAGTTTTTAAAGTAGGGATTTTTAACTTTATATGTGTTGTAGCCATCTCAGAATAGTGTTTTTAAATGTGGCATATATATGTATATATTACAAAAAAACACAATTACATTGAAATATAGTACTCAAAAATTTTTTATTAAAGTTTATGGATCTCAGGTTAAGAAACTGTGCCTTAGAGATTTTCTGCAAAGTTTCATCATAGAAATTCTAGGCAACTTTGGAAAATCATTTGACCTCGAAGGTAATTTATTTTATAAAATGATTAAAACTCAATTTGTAAGAAAATATATTTGTAAATTTCATCAAGTGCTAAACAATAATAATAACAACAACAACAACAATGCCACTCCATTGAATTGTTTTGATTAAAACGGATCTTTTTGTTTGAAAATATACTTGAATTTTTTTTGTTTTTTTTCCTCCCGTAGGCTGACTTGAGTACTACCAGTTCTATTATAGCAATAGACTTCAATTCTTTTAAAAATGTTCATCAACTGGAACTTCCCAAGGTAAATCTTTTTTAAATAGCCATGAAGTTTATGTGTCTTTTCAAAACAATTTCTAAGTAATAGCTTAAAAGAGAAATCAATTTTTTGGGAAAACATTTATAATGGACACCAAAAGTCAGTCCATTACACCCAATCAAACATTTATTAAGGACCTGTAATGTTCCAGGCACTGCCCTAGATGCCGCTGCAGCATACATTAAATGAAATAATCCCTAGAGCCCAATAGAGGAGACAAAAAAAACCAAAAAACAAAACCATGGTTAAGTGTATATAGCTTAAATATAAAGAAAATAAATACCAAAAAGAGAGACTAATTTCAGTTGATTAATGAGATTTGAAGCCAGATCACAAAAAGGCTGATAAGTGAGAGGTAATGAAGTACAGGCAGCTTTTTCTTCGAGTTTCTCTGAAAAGAGTAACACAAATAATTGAGTCCTGTACTTTCTGAAAGATAGCTTTTATATATTTTTTTCATTTTCTGTGGCATTAGGAACCTAGATGTGTTCAGTAATAAGCATTCAATTTGACTGTAAACCTACAAGAAGTTGACATTTTTTAAAGTATTGAATTATTAAATGTGGATTGTAACCTGAATAATTTTACAGTACTGATATATCTGATTTATTTTGGAAATGTACATGAGTCTTCACTACAAGGTACAAGTGAATCACTCCAGTAGTGCTTATTTTAAGCAGACTTAAGACACATTTAATTTAGGAGATAGGAGTTTGGAAGAGAAGATAGCTTTTACACAGTCTGTTGATAGAAACTTTGTTAATGATCCACGTTCTCACTCCTTAAGAACTTCCCTTTAGTACTCCTGGGAAATTTAACACCCTCGTTTGTTCAGTGTTGATCTAGCAAGTTAGATGGCTGGATGGCTGGATGGCTGGATGGATAGATAATGTATATATGTACAGGTATATATACATGCATTGATTTTTAGAAATATATATGTATATATACATATATACTCTATATACCAATATATGCACACATATGTGCTACATAAACATACACACATGCATATATATTACAATTTATAGTAATCATTAAAGGATGATTGGATTTGTGATTTCATCAGTACAGGGAACTACTGCCTGAGGAAACTTCTACCAATGCAAGGTAGTACATTCTCTGAAACATATAATCTTAGAGAGTTAGCCTAACACACTGGAAAGAAAAGTGGTCAAGATCACCTAGTCACCTTGTGTTAGAGACCAGATTTGAATCTTGGTCTTCCTAGCTTTGCCACATTGCCTCTATGTATTAAAATAATGAAAAGTAAAGAGAATTGTTGTGATTTTGGGCCAAACAGTTAACATCTTGAGGCTCAGTTTCCTTATACTTAAAATGAGAATAGTAATTGCACTACCTGCCTTACATCATCAAATAAACACAGGGGTGTTGCAAAGATCAAATGAGATAATGTATATAAAGTGCTTTGCAAACCTTGAAGCATTATATAAATACTAGTAGTCATCATCAGCATCATCGTCATCAGTGTTTATAGAATAAAATAGGTGTGCGCTGATACATATTTAACAAACTGATTTAGGGCAGCTAGGTGGCGCAGTGGATAGAGTGCCAGGCTTGGAGAAGACTCGTCTTCCTGAGTTCAAATCCAGCCTTAGACACTTACTAGCTGTGTGATCCTGGGCAAGTCACTTAATGCTGTTTGCCTCAGTCTTCTCATCTGTAAAATAAGCTGGGGAAGGAAATGGCAAACCTCTCCATTGTCTTTGCTGAGAAAACTCTCAATGGGGTCAAAAAAGAATTGGACATAACTTAAATAACTAAACAATAAAATTTCTGGAATATATATGTATCTGTGTGTGTATATCTGTATATATACACTTGTTTATACAGATATACATACATATATGTATATGTATGTACATGTGTGTATATGTGTGTGTGCATATATATACATATACATATAAATGCATGCAGTGCACACATTTGAGTTTGATCTGCATTATTATTACTTTCTTTAGTCTAGACAATCAACAAAACAATACATCAAGTTCTGATTTACCGAGATCACCAATTACTGAGGTATAAATGCTAACACTGAAAATTTTAGCAATCCTCTCTTCCAAGCTAATTAGAACTGTCTCCAGCATACCCCTGTATATGTGATAGTTTACAACTTTAAAATTCTATATAAAAGCAATATATTCTTATGTAGAGAGATATCCGCAAACATATCTTTTTTATAAACAGGGAATCCCTCTGAGACTAGCTTTTTTCAATTTAGCATTTAAATATTTTTAAAAATATCAGATATTATTAGCATGTAAATATGTTTTGGTCAGAATTATTATTAGCACATCCTGCACAATTGAGAAGTACCAGCTCATTGAAGCACATAGAATTTTCCTTTTCCAGTTCCTCAGATAAATATTTCAGCTGAATACAAGCAGAGTGAGCAGATTATTACTGGATTTCTCATTTCTGAATCTGCCACAAAGACAAGAATTACTTTGTGTATGTATATCCCTACCCTCCCTGCTCATTGTTTTGTATAGCATAAGAAACCTTATCCTTAGACATCTTGGCTTGCCTCCTTACCTGTTTACTTTATACTTTTTTGAGTGATCTATCATAGACTTGTTTTTTTCCACGAAGCTATTCTTGCTACTCACTAGTATCCATCCTGACAGAAGTGAAGTGGGAAATTAATAATATCTATAGACTGTCATTCTGAGTAATTTAGCACCCCCCAACTCTCCAGATTTTTATAGCTTCCATATTAAATAGATGAGATTAAAGTGTTTTCCTTCTGTTTAGCTTAATAAACATTAAGTTTTCAAAGAAAAATAATACTAATATTACATTCTGAATTTGGGAACTAACTATCATGCCAGAAACATATGATTCATCATTAATCTATATCCAAGCCATTTTTAGCTTGAAAAGAGATATGTTCAAACTGGAATAGTCTTCCATTACCTCTGACATGACTCTGCCCCAGGCTTTCAGGTAACATTTATACCAATATTGAACAAAGACAAACTTCCAGGGAACTCCCCTTCCTTTCTCAAGGAGTTCAGTACCTGGCTCACAATCTTTCTCTCCTTCCCAACTTAAGCTTTCGTAGGAGGGCAAAAGTGATCCCATTTCACTTCAACTCCTCTAATAGATTGCCCCCTAGTATTTCCCATTCTGTCACTTATCTTTGATCTCTTCCTGTCTACTGGCTATTTCCCTGCTCCCTACAGACATGCCCATGTCTTCCCCAGCCTCAAAAAAAAAAACCTTCTTAGTCCTTCCAGCCCCATTAACTGTCATCCTATATCTTTTCTGCCCTTTCTGGTAAAACTCCTAAAGAATGCCATCTACAATAGGTGCCTCCACTTCCTCTCTTCTCACTCTCCTTTTTTTTAAGTAATACTTTATTTTTTCTCCAATTACATGTAAAAACAATTTTAATAGTCTTTTTTTAAAAATTTTGAGTTCCAAATTATGTCTGTCCCTCTCCTCTTCTCTCTGTGAGAGAGTAAGCAATTTGATATAGGTTATACATGTCTCACTCTCTTAAAACTCTACAGTCTGACCTCACCATTCTGGTAAAACTGCTCTCTCCAAAGTTATGAGTGATCTTACTACCAAATCCAGTTGCCTTTTCTCAATCCTTATTCTTCCTCTGCAGACTTTGACACTGACCCCTCTCTTTTTCTTGATATGCCCTTCTCTCTAGGTTTTTGGGACACCATTCTCTCCTGGTCCTCCTCCTACTTATTTGACTGCTTCTCAGTCTTCTTTGCTGGATCCTCATCCAAATCATACCCATTAACCATAGGTGTCCCACAGGGCTCTGTCCTTAGCCCTCTTCTCTTCTTCCTCTATACTGCCTCACTTGGTGATCTCATCAGCTCCTATGGATTTAATTATCATCTCTATGCTGATGATTCTCAGATCTACCTATCCTTCCCTAACTTCTCTGTTGACTTCTAGTCCCTCATCTCCGACTGCCTTTCAGACATCCATAACTGGATGTAGAGTAGACATCTTAAACTCAACATGTCCAAAGCTAAACTGCTCCCCCAACCTCCCTCCAATCCTTCTGCCACAGCCTGTCAGTTTGTACTTCGCAACATCTTTCATATCCCCCCCTCCTATGATACTACTACCACCCTGTTATAGGCCCTCATTACCTCACAAAACCTGGACTATTATAATATTTTGCTAGTGGGTCTGCTTGACACAAATCTTTCCCTACCCCAGTCCATCCTCCAATCAGCCACCAAAGTAATTCTCTGGAAGTGCTAGTCTGACCATGGCAACCCCATATTCATTAAACTCTCGTGATGTCCTATTACTTATAGGGTCAAGTATAAAATCCTCTTTTTGGCATTCAAAGCCCTTCCTAACCTAACCCATATTCTCCACTTTCCCAATCTTCCTGTACCTTACACTCTCCTTCCCAATGTAATCTTGTATCAAGTATCCCTGACCACCTTGCTGTTCCACGAACAAGACATCCTGTCTCTCACCTCCAAGCATTTTCTCTGGTTCTCCCTCATGCCTGGAATGCTATCCCTCCTCATCTCCACTTCCTGGCTTCCTTAAAGTCCTAGCTAAAATTCCACCTTTTAAAGTAGCTTTTCCAAATAGCTCTTAATTCTAGGGCCTTCCCTCTGTTAATTATTTCCTATTTATTCTGATATAACCATTTCTTTCTCCAGTTTCTTTTACAGATGAGGCACTGAGGCAGGCAGGGTTAAATGACTTGCCCAGGGTCTCACAGCTAGTCTCTGAGGCCATATTTGAACTCAGAAAAATGACTCTTCCTGATTCCCAACCTAGTTTTCTATCCAATGAGCCACCTAGCTATCCCATGAAAAGAGGGGATGCTAGTCTTTTAATCTCCTTAGGCGGAAGAGATTGCCCTTCAGATGAGTCAATAACCAAATCACTTTAGGTGTAGAAAAAATAAAGATATAAGCAAGAGGAGAGTTATTCGTTCTTATAAAGGTTTAGTACTCTACCCTTAATCCATTTCCTTAAGAAAGGTCTTTTTGACCTTACTTTTTGCTTCCAACCCACATTTCTAAGGGGCTTTTCTCGAAACTCTAGAAGTATCTTTTGTGAGAAATATTATTTCTTAGTATTTCTAGGAAACTTGAAAAGATACTTTTTAATATGCCTCCACCAAGTGTTTGGTGTGTTTGTACAAAGTATTACCTTAGGCACTGGGGATAAAGAGATAAAAAATGGCATAGTCCTTGCCTTCTCTTTAAGGAACTTACACAAATAAGTATGAAACTAGGTAGTATGTGATGGAGTAAAGCTGAGAGCTAGACAGGGCACTCTTAAAAATCAGAAGAATATGATAGATCATTTTCAGCTATGAGGTTGGGGATCAGTAGAGAAGTCTTCATGCTCTCTGCATTGAGCCTTGAGGAAATATAGGACTTTAACAGATTTGAGGTAGTTTCCTCCAAGCCTTGGGAACAGTACAAGCAAAATTATGAAAATATAAGAAGGCAGGATAAAAAGTAATTTAGTGGGGCAGCTACGTGGGGTACAGTGGAAAGAGAACCGGCCCTGGATTCCGGAGGACCTGAGTTCAACTCCAACCTCAGACATGTAACACTTACTAGCTGTGTGACCCTGGGCAAGTCACTTAACCCCATTGCCCAACCAAAAACAAACAAAAAACATCAACAACAAAAAAAGTGAATTAGTTTACCTGGAACAAAGACTTTGTGAAGAAATGATGAGGTTGGACAGATACTGAAATCAGTTGTGGAAGGCCTTGAATGTCAGGGCTAGGTAGGTTGTGAGAAGTGACATGATGATGGCAGCACTTTAGGAAGAAGAAATAGATTAGAGGCAGGAAGAGCAGTTGGAAGGATATTATTAGGTCTAGGCTAGTGGTGGGGAACCTGTGGCCTTGAGGCCACATGTGGCTCTCTAGGTCCTCAGGTGTGGCCATTTGACTGAATCCAAACTTCAGATTTGTTCTATGAAGTTTAGATTCAGTCAAAGGACAACACTTGAGAACCTAGAAGGCCACATGTGGCTTCGAGGCCGCAGGTTCCCCACCCCTGAGACTCTAGACCTAAACTATGTTGATTGCAGTGGGAGTAGAAAGGAGGAGCCAGGTCCCAGATTTTTTTGAAGAGCTGAAAACAATATTTGTAAATGATAGGGTGTGTAAATGATAGGATGTAAATAATAAGAGATATGTGAGGTAAGGGATAAGGAGAGTTATTGACAAATAGCATCAATGATGACCTCAAAATTGTGAACCAGTATTCCTTTCTCTTTCTAAATACTACCTACACACACACACACACACACACACACACACACACAAATCATTTGCCTAGAAATCACTGATCTTGATGATTTCATGCTTGTACTTATTACCAATATGTGAAAAGTCAATTCACAATTATTTGTTCAAATAGAAAAGGACAGTGGCATGGAAAATCCAAAACTTATAGAAAATTATTCGTATTTGACTTTAGTTTTTGTTAGGTAGTGTCTTCAGAAGATTTACTTTCCTATTTTTTTTAATGTAGTCTATTCTTTCTGACTCCTAGATAAGAATTTAACTACTCACTAACTCCCTAAATTGGAAAAATGAGAGTTTTGTCTAACAGCAACAGTGAGCAGATTCTCTTTCCTTCAGAACTCTGGGTGGTCTACGTATTGGGCCCAATAGAGTTGGAAAATGTAAAACAATAACAATAATAACTTTTACATAGCACTTGCTGTGTGTCAAGTACAGTGCTAAGCACTTTGCAAATATTATCTCATTTGATCCTCACCTGCCTGGGAGGCGGGTGCTATTATTATCCCAATTTTACATTTGAGAAAACTGAGGCAAGCAGAAATGAAGTGGTTTGGCCACTTCACAGAGCTAGTACTTACCTGAGTGAATTTGAACGTGTCATTGATAAGCCAGAAGACCGTAGTGTACAGTAGCAAATTAGATGGCAATACCTAGCGATCTGGAGGGCAGTAGTGCAATTGATAAGGAAGGAGAAATGGTGCCTGAACAATGGCTATTGAGAAGAGTGGAACCAGTGATAGGGCTAGAGCAGAGTAAGGATCTAGCTTACCTTTCCTATCAACCATCCAGGTTGTCTTGGGCTGGAAATTTGTTTCACTCTGTCTTTTTGTGGGTTCTGCTGCTCTAGCATTTGTTTAGAGCCATTTTTATAGGTGTTTGGAGGGGTTTGGGGGAGAGCTCAAGCAAGTCACTGCTTTTACTCTGCCATCTGGGCTTTGCCCCCAGGATCGAGCTTACCTCAGGAACAGGTGGAGTGGAGTGTAAGAGGTCAGAACTAATCCAGAGGAGAGAATCCAGCTTGGGGCCTGGCATGATGGAGGGGAAGGGATCCACATGTCTTACTCCTATTGGGCCCTTGAGTACCCATCGGCATCTGGGTGGTAGCATCACCTGGAGTAGGGGAGGTTACGTTTATGGTCAGGTAAAGGTTTTTTCTTAGATATAGATTGGACTAGGTGAACTCTGAGAAAAGAGGCAGTATTGAATAGAGAATGGAGTATTGGGCTTATAGTCATGAAGACATGAGTTCAAATCCCACCTCAGACACTTACTACTTTTGTGATTCTGGGCAAGTCACTTAATTTCTGTAGTTCTCATCTGTGAAATAAAGGGATTGGATACAAGGACCTGTAATTTCCCTTCCAGCTCTAAGCCTATGATCCCATGATCCTTCCAGCTCTGAGATCCTGTGAGTCAATGGCCAAGGAAAATCAGTTAAGGAATAAACAATTGAACTTAGAAAATGCATAAATGTAATAATTCTCACAGGAGAGTCAGGCACTCCTTTGCCATTCTAGAAGAAGAGTTTTTCTCCAAAAGTAGGGAAAGTGCCAATATATACTTTTAAAAGATATTTATTAATATCTTTTTGCTTTTACATCACTTTCTTTTTCAAATATAACCCCTGCTTTGTAGAGAGCCAACCCTTATAAAGAAGAATAGAAGCAAAAGAAAACAATTCAGCAAAACTAACCAGCATATCAACCAAGTCTGACAATGTGTGGGACTTTCCACACCTATTGCCAGTCACCTCTGCAAAGAAGGATGGGAGGACATGTATACATTTCCAATCAGCAATGAGAACAGTTTCAATCCTCCCTTTCACTTTTTTGTCTGTTGTATGTGCAGAAATTACAAAGAAAAGTATTGTTGGCTCTGGTTAGATTGAGATACACTCCAAAAAAACTATTTTAATGTTGTTATACCTAATAGTAAAGAGAATCACAGGCTGATGTTATTAAGCATTTGGTTTTGATAAAAGAAAATGTGAAGACTATGGATAAAAGAAGTTCAGTTCTGAGGCTGTGGCAGATTTTTAGTGAGACTCTTTGTGCTCCAGAGTTTGGAGCCCTGCAATCTCAAAACTCAAATATCCATGGAAACAGGCTCTGGATACTAAGCCCTGGCTAGCACAGGGAGGATAAGATTAATGGCTGCATTTGGATCAGCTCTTATTTTGAGTGGAAGGAACATAAAGAAGAATAGGACAGGCAAGGGGAGTGGTGAAAAAGAAAGGACATATTTTCTGAAAGGCGACCAGAGATACAGGAAGATCAGGCAGATGTCTCAGATAACATTTCCAAGTTCTACACGTATAATATTGGTTAGATTAAAAATATATATATTTATTAGCTGCTTAACATACGTGTGTCAGTGCTTTGAAAGATGCATGATTTTGTCATCGTGGATGTTTATTCCACTAATACACAGCACAACCCCTCCATGATTTAGGAAATCATTTTCTATGGCTCCAAAATAAATCCACCATCCAGTGTAAAACCACCTAGAGATGAACCTCTCTCACATTGGCTCAGCTGGTCTTTAGTTAGATGAGTCTATACTCAAAGTTAAGCAGATATTTCTGCTTCAATTGCAAAAGGGTTTAGATGTGAGAACATGCATCAGATTTTAAGAAGGAAATTATAAAGCCTTGAGGGAAGGGTAGAGATCTTAATTTCTTTAAACAATGGGCTTTAAATCAATTTTCAACTTCTTCTCTGTTATTAAGTGTTGAATATGGTAAGCAGAAGACATTATACCTGCATATATTTCTTTTGGGGGACATTAAAATTCTTTGTTTGAAATTGTCTGAGTTCTATGGTCTTTATTTCTCTAGGATCAAGGGGGTTTGGGCATTGCTATCAGTGAAGAAGATACACTTAATGGAGTTGTCATAAAGAGTCTAACTGATCATGGAGTAGCAGCAAAGGTGAGATTTTATTAGCATAATGGCTGTTGTAGAATATAGTGTATGTGTGGAGAAGAGGTAGGGTATTACTTCCAAGAAAGAAAAAAAGGTATCAGAAAATTTCCTTTTTCTTCCTAGGATGGACGTATCAAAGTTGGAGATCAAATCTTAGCAGTGGATGATGAAGTTGTTGTGGGCTATCCTGTGGAAAAGGTACCTTTATCAAAGTAGGAGAGTGACTGATAAAACAATTATAGCCAAGTACATGTGTGTATATGTGCTTGTGTGTTAATGAATGTAGAAGTATGATTGGTATGTATGCATAATACATGTATATGTGTGTGCGTAATTCCATGTATATACATATTTGTATACAGTGTGGTGTGTATGTGTGTGTGTTAGTCACTAGTTGACTGACTGAATGACTATTACTTTTCCTTGAAAATAATTAAACTTCCTTGGATCCTAACAAGATCCTCTTTCAATCTTATAACCAGAGTAACATTTTTATTAATGTATTCACAGATCTGATTGTTCCCAGATACATGTAGTCTAATAGAGGGATTCTCAATATTTAGAGCTTAGAGGGAATCTTGGAAATCATCTGGTCAAACATTTACATTTATATAGATGAGGAAACTAGGCGTTAAATATATTTATTTCTTCTCTTAGTCATAGAAAGCATAAACCTCTGGGGATATCAATGTCCCAATTGCATTACTTTAATTTGCTCATTAATTTTGTTTTATTCAATCAGTTTATAAATCTTTTGAAGACTGCAAAGAACACAGTGAAACTTACTATTAATGCGGAGGACCCAGAAGTCCAGCCTGTCCAGTCAACCCTCAGTGTATCCATTGGAGAAAAAAAGAACATCTCACAAGCTCCAGTGATGCCCCCTTCTGGATCTCCAGAACCTGAACCTATCAGAAGTAAGGATAGTACTGCAAGCTTCAAGTCTCAGAGATTAGAGTCTGTATGTATATAAGAATCCCAATTCAAGCAGATGATCACTGTAAAGAAGCCAGTAGCCTACCTAGTGCTTCTAAAAGCATGCTTGTGAGTGACAGCCCCAGATCAAAATTTTCATATTGGACGTCCTTCACGTTATATATAATGTAGGGGTCCTACACAGACTTGTTTCACTCCCTTTGGGAATGTAGCCTCAAGGGAAAATATTGGGTGACCTGGACATTTTATTCTTTCTGTTATGAAAAAAAAAGCTCTATAGTCTATAACCTCTGCCAGCCTAGCTAGCTCTCTGATTCACAGGTTAGAAAACTAGGATCATTTTGTTCTCTTTATACTTCAGAAAATACCATTATGTATTGGAATCCCATTATACCATGACCAGTAGTAGTGTGGAATATGGCATAGCAAAGGTCAGCGTTGGGAGAATATGCCATGAGAGTGTAATGAAAATGCCAGAAGGTCTCCTTTTATAACATGGTCTAGGATCCCATGACCATGTAGACCATGAGGGCAGTTTGACATAGTAGAAAAAGTGATGAACCTGCAATTAAGAGGCATAGGTTTGAGTCTCCAATCAGATACTAAATATCCTACCTAACCAAAAATGGTTAGTTTTTCTCAATCACAACTTTCTTATCTGTGAAACTGGGATAATAATACTTCATGCTGCGCACCTGAGATAAAGTAAATGTTATTTTGAGAGAAGTGCTTTGTATTAAAGTGCCGTAAACATAAGTTACTGCTATTCCTTTACATGTTGGTGCATCTATTTAGGAAAACTTTTTCTTGTATAAAAACCTCTCATTCATGCAGAAACACATTTTAAAGCATTTGCACCATCTTCTCTTCAAAAAACTGTTTAATGTTCTTGACTGTGAAATGTAGGGAAACCATTTGGTTATGTTAACAACCCCAAAGGATTCATCTGTTTTGGCATAAAAAAACCTGAAACATTCACATTTTTTTGGAATGCTTTTTAGGGAAACAGTAGTTCAAAACATTCAAAAAATAGTTCAAAACAGTATCTCAAAGCAAAATAGTATGTATCTGATGAAAGAAATACTTTATATAGAGAACATTTGCCAATTCATTAAAATGTTTGAAGATTTTCTAGAAAATTTCCCCTTTCACATTAAGTTTTCTGCTGTTCCCAGAATAGCATTCCCCAAATAATTTGAAATCATACATGCAAAAATAGCATAAGAGAAGAAAATACTTTACACCTGTTCTTACCATTTTAGAATGAAGAAAGTGGTCTATCTCTCTGTAATTCCTAAAAAGAGGAACATCTTATCTCAAACTTAAGCTATTATTGATTGGCTTTCTTAAAACTAGTTCTTGGGTAACATATTAAATGAAGAATATCATAAAACTAAATATATAATTTTAGTTTACATGATGTACATAAAGGAGAAGAATCATTATGATTTTGAGACTTTCTCTTAACACCTTATTAAATCAGACACCAGGTATAAGGAAAGGGGACCTGGCTTCAAGTTCCCAGTCTTGACACTGCTTAGTGTGATTTTGAGCAAATGATTGAGGATAATTGAAGCATAGATGTGGAGCTAGAACAGATCTCTGAGGTCATGTCATTTAACTCCCTTGTGTTGTAGATGAGGAAACTTGAGGATTGGAGAGGTTCTGTGCCCAAGGTCATACAGCTTACATGTTCCTTTGAGGGCCTCAGCCTTCTCACCTTTAAAATGGTGATAATAATACTGCTCTTATCTCCTAGGGAATATTAAGTTAGGAAAGTACTTTATAATCCTTAAAATGCTATAGAAAAGTAATAACTATACCATAGATGGATGTGAATAGAATGAAAGAGAAAGAAAGTAAAAATAGTGGTATGGTCTCCAACCAAAGATTGCTGAAGATGTTTTGAGTTTGAGATTATTCAGCTCTTTTTATTTACCTATTTATTGTGTGTGGGCCATAGATATATGCAAATATTTATTTATTTATTTCATAGAATCAATTTATATTACTGCATAGAATCATAAAACTTTGAATAATATATCACCTACTTGGTGGGAGATTTTGCCTCCCAAAACATATCAGTGAATCCTTGCAACTTTAACTCAGTTTCTACCTCTTCATTCTGTTGATAGAGTCAAGCTTATCTTCTCTATTTTAAGGCACAAGCAGGTCCTCCACCCCAGCCACTTTCCCTTCTGACCCAGCGACCTGTCCAGTTATCCCTGGCTGTGAAACAACAATTGACATTTCTAAAGGACGCACTGGGCTTGGATTGAGCATCGTTGGAGGAGCAGACACTTTGCTGGTGAGCACTTAGGTGGTAAATATCTCAGGATAAGAAGCAAGCAGAGTAGATAAAATGCTGGAACTGGAATCAGAACTACCTGGGTTCAAATACTCACTATATAACCATGGAAAAAATCATTTAGCATTTATGAGCCTACATTTCTTCCTCTGCAAAGTGTAGATAAAGAATATCTATACATTTTAGTGCCTTCTTCATGGGGTTGCTCTGGGCTATAGATGATAAAGGGATAGTGACTGGATCTGTGATTTCATTGATGTAAGAAGCTCCTAGAAGAGGAACCTCTCTATCAATACAGGTTAGCATCTGTCTTTCCATAGAGTCCATCTGGTACTCCAGTGGCCTTCCTCTGATTATTTTAATAACATGTAGATACTAGAATTTTCTGTTCATTATCTTCTCTCTTTACACAACCAGCCTGCTTCCTTTTCTAGTTAGACATATCTTTGATGAGAGTACTGGCCTTAGGAGTCAGAGGATGTGACTTCACTAATCCTCTCTGGACCTCATTTCCTTATCTATAGAATGAGGTGTTCAATTATAAGGCTTTTGAAGTCACTTCCAACTGGCTCTGTTGGGGGGAAATGTATGCATGATACAGTTTTAAGTATAATCTGCATGTTTAACATTTTCTCCATTGCTTTCTAAAGTCCAGATATTCAAGAAAACAATAAATCAAGGCCTGATTTGTGATGTTTCCTGATTTCTGAGGGGTAAATGCTCACAATGAAAATGTAACAATTAGCTCTCATGATCTGATATGAACTAGCCCCAAGCACACCCTTTTTCTAACTCTAGAACTATGATCCATATCATTTTATTACTACATAAGAAATAATAGAGCATCTAGTCTTCTCTGGATTAGATAGTAGCTTCAATTGCTCATTATTTAAAAAAAATAATTTTGGAGTAGTAAGGTTTTGTGATATTGGCAGTGTTTTGTGATGCTCAGATTTCAAAACTTCTTGTCATTCACAACTCATAAATTTTCTGTATTCATAACCTAGATATACCCTGTGAAGATTTTTTTTTAGTTTGAATAGCTGTAAATTAATCTTAAATATTTTTGAGTACCAGAGATATCTGTTGTGCCTTAATAATTTCAGTTTGAAAAGTATGTTTTGAATTTTTACATTCTATTAATAACAAATATTTGTATACAGGCTTGTTCTTTTTAAAATTTACAAAGCAGTTTCATCTTGACATCCCTGTAAGACATGCTGTACGACTATTATGATTCTTATTTTATAGATGAAGGATCCAAGGTACAGAAAAGGGAAGTGGTTTGGTCCTGGTCACACAGATAATAAGTGTTCAAGCTGGGATATGAACCCAGGTCTCCTGACTCTTAAACTGACCACTCCATTCACTGTGTTACAATAGTTTGCATAAGATTATTTTGTAAAAGTGGTGCTCTCACATACGTATTTTTATCTTATTCAGTAATACTTTAGCCCGTGTTAGTGAACGAATTTAGGTTGTGTCTTTTTTTTTTCTTTACTGGAGTGGGGATAACACAAAAAACAATAGTTGTCTTCTCACTCCACAGGGCGCCATTATTATCCATGAAGTTTATGAGGAAGGAGCTGCCTGTAAAGATGGAAGACTTTGGGCTGGGGATCAGATTTTAGAGGTATGGATTTAGAGTTTAGAGAATACATGTAAGCTTTTACTGGTTATGAAAAGGAGGTGGTTTTGTTTTGTTTTGTTTTGTTATTTGATTCTTTTTCACCAGCCTAGTTTCTCACAGTCCATGTTTGACTCTGGTCCAGGTGAATGGGATTGATCTCAGGAATGCTACACATGATGAAGCTATTAATGTACTGAGGCAGACTCCTCAGAAAGTACGCCTCACTATCTACAGGGATGAGGCCCAGTATAAGGAGGAGGACATGTATGATATGTTCAATGTAGAACTGCAAAAGAAGCCTGGAAAAGGACTTGGATTGAGTATTGTTGGAAAAAGGTATGAAAAGGCAAATTTATTCTCTACATCGGGGAAGGGAGGGCTTTCAAACAATCTAAAGTCTAGGAACATTTGTGTATGGGCCATGGACATAAGCAAATATTTGTTTATTTCATAGAATCAATTTATATTATTGCATACAATCACAAGGCTTTGAATATTTTTTTATGTACTGGATGCAGCCTTTAATTTGAAAATTGCATTGGATTTAGAGTTAAGAGAAACCTGGATTTGAAACCCAGTTCTGTCTTTTATTGTGTAAGCTTTAGCAAGTCACTCAACAGTTTCCTTATTTTATAAATGAGGATAACAGTAACACTTGTACTATCTACCTCATATGATTGTTTTAAGGAAAACATATTGAAAAATTTAAAGCACTATATAAATGTAAATTATTATATATTGCACAGATCAGGCCCTTCACAAATGTTTATTGACTTAAATCAATGGTAGGGTTTATACTGTTTGTTCACTATTGGATGAAGTCATTGATTGTATTTGGTGACAAATGTACTACTACCTGGTAAAGATAATAAAAACTCTCATCTGTGTGGTACTTTAAAGGTTACAAAACACTTTTCTAAAATAAAAGGAATTGAAAGGAGAAAAGGGAATCGTATTCAGAAATAATATATAATCACTCAAATCTAAAGTTCAAACAAAAATTCACAATTTTAAAACAACTTGAAAAATACTCCACAGATTCCCTATAGGGTCCTGCAAGATCCCAGGGTCTGACCAAAGAGAATTTGGAAAAAACATCCTTTAAGCAATTCATGTTATATTTACATGTTTCTGTATTATAGTTGACTTAAATGCTAATAGAGAATCAGTAATGGGCTGAGTTTTTTGTCATTCAGTAATTTCAGTCATGTCTGATTCTTTGTGACCTCATTTGAGGTTTGCTTGGCAAAGATATTGGAGTGGTTTGCCATTTCTTTGTCCAGCTCATTTTACAGATGAGGAAACTGAGGCAAACAGGGCTAAGTGACTTGCCCTGGTTCACACAGCTAGTACCTGAGGCTGGATTTGAACTTAGGTCTTCTTGACTCCAGGCCCAGCACTCCATCCCTTTGTCATTTAGCTAATAAGCTAAGTTACTTTGTGCTTTAGTCACTTTGGTCCAGCAACTTAAGATTCCTTTTAACTATTCTCCAACATTTTGCATTAATTCAAAGATGTAAGTGAGGTTACAAAACCTGTCTTTTTCCAAATCTTTTATAAACCCATTTCACCCTTAAGAGGTAGCCAGATAGTTCAATAAAAATAAAGTTAACACTCACTCTTTTATTTCCACTCAGTAAAATGTATATGCATTAAGCAAATGTCTGTTTGCTGCAATACTTTTTCCATGGTGAGATCAAAATTTTTGAATAGGACTTTGAGAATTTGTCCAGTTTGGCTTTCTGCTTGTAAGACGGACTAGGACTGAGCTATGACAGGGATGGTTACTCAGTGCAAGTTTTGTTGTACTCCAAGGAAGAAACGCTAACAACTTCCCTTGACTGCCTCATAACTCCTCTGGTCTCTGGTGCTCTCCCTGGTCATAATTAACCAGCCCTTTTTACACAGGTGCCCGGTAAAGTAATGAGCATTGGTAAAATTAAGTTGCCTTTCCTGGGCAATTCATTTTCATGAAACAGTTAATCTGAAGGAGAAAAATGGAAAAGCCCTGCGGAGTAGATATTGTCTTCCCATTTTGCAGCAGAGAAGACAGAAGCAAAGCCTTCCAGATGGTGGTTTGCCTCAGCAGGGCTTATAGGGTGTCAGCTCTGGGTATTAAATCCTTAACCCTCTGATCTTTCCTCCTGACCTCAGATCCTTGTGATCCCAAAGCAACTTTCTGACTTCTTTTTCCAAATGAATTAAAATCTCAGTGACTATGGCCTTTTATATTGCAACCCCAGTACTTATAAAACCAGCCAAAACCAACGAAATGCATCTGAATGCTCATCCCAAAGTTTCCTCGTGGATTCACTTGTGAATGATCTTCCCTTACAGCGAATGGGTTAATTTTAACAAGGAATAAGAATGACCTTCACTTAAGATGTCTTGTTTTGGGACCATCAGATTATAAATTTAGATGTGGACAGAAATTTAGAGGTCATTTTAAGTCCAGTCCCCTTCATTCCACAGATGAAGAAACTGGAACCCAGGTACTAAGTGGCATACGTAGCATTTGACCCCAAGTCCTTTCACAAAGAATCTGTGTAGTCTATCAGTAAGCATTTATTAAATGCCTACTATTTGTCAGGTGCTGTGCTAGGCGGTGAAGATAATAAATTTTAAAAAAGAAAAGGAAAGGAAAGAAAAGATTCCTATTCTCTCAAAGCTTCCATTCATTCTAATGGATTCCATTTTTGCTGTATTATATTCACTCAGGTGGGTCAGTGATGATTATTTTAGTGATGTTGTTATATCCCATGGTAATGAATAATCATAATCAAGGATTTATAATTTTGTTCTTATTCCATGGGGAGAAATTGTGATTGTGAGGAGCCAGTCTGGTTTAGTAAGGGTCTACTATGTGTAAATCAACTGTGTTCTTCTTGTGCAGTCATGTCTGGTGTTTTGTGACTATGTATGAAGTTAACTTGGCTAAGTTACTAGAGTGGTTTGTCATTCCATTCTCTAATGGATTAAGGCAAACAGAGGTTAAGTGACTTGCCCAGGGTAACAGAGCTAGTGAGTGTCTGAGGTCAGATTTGAACTCAGGTCTTCTTGACTCCAGGCCCAGCACTCTATGCACTGAGCCACCTGTCTCCAAATCAACTGTACCAATGATTAAAACCAAAAAATGGAAGTAATGTGATGCTTACCTCCAGACCTGTATTTATGTTATGTGGTAGATAAGTTAAATCTTCCAAACAATAAAATTAGCCACTAGTTTTAAATATCTTGTTTTTTTGTGTTTTGTTTTTGAGAAAATGGGCATCAGACATTTGATCTTAATAAATGTTTATTTATAGATTAAGAGGCAAAATGGAACAGTGGGGAAAAAGCAAAACAAAATATGGACTTTGGAATAGGAGGGACCAGGATCGAGTCTTGTCTCTGTCACTACCTGTGTGGCCTAGGATGACCTCCTGGGTACTCAGTTTACTCACCTGTAAAATGAATGAGGTGCTGGACTACATGGCCTCCAAAGTTCCTTCTAGCTCTTCATAATGAGATTCTGTTATTGATTAGTTTAAAATATTCCTTAAGTCTGTTTTAATATTAACACTACCTCCTCAAGATTAGTCTTAACTATAATTATGTCCTCACGTCACAGTAATAGAGCTAACTTTAGCTCTAAGCAAAAAAAAAAGTGATTTGTTGAAGTGAAGTTTCATTCATTATATAACCATTGTATTATAGCTAGGAAAAAATGATATCATAGTTGCTACCCTCTCCCAAAAACCTTCCCTAATTCCCTCAGTTGTTAGTCTTCTCTCCTTGCTCAAAATATTTTGTATTTATTTCTTGGTTTATGTGTTGTTTTCCTCCAGTTGTATCCTGTCCCTAATTTACCCCCAAGGATCTTTTGTAAAAATTCCTTGAAGGTGTGTCATGTTTCATCTTGAATTTTTGTTCCTTGTGCTGAGGATAAAGTCATGCACCTCATAGGAACTTAATAAAAATTAATTGAATTGAAAATAAAAATTGTATTTGCAGAAATGATACTGGAGTATTTGTGTCAGACATTGTGAAAGGAGGAATTGCAGATATGGATGGAAGATTGATGCAGGGAGACCAGATATTAATGGTGAATGGGGAGGATGTTCGTAATGCCACTCAGGAAGCTGTTGCAGCATTACTCAAGGTAATCATTTTTAAAGTTAATAATAACGTTGCTGCATAGTACTGTGGCAAAAGAAAATAACTTAAAAGTGAGTTATGGCAATTAACAGTTACTGATCTCATCACACTTTAATAAACAAGATCCTTTAATTCACTGATAGTTTTAAAATGGTAATCTTAAGTGCAATTATCTGTAATATTGGTATACATTTTATTGGATAATAGGGAGTATTATAAATGGACTCTTAATGATGTAAATAAAATCATCATCCTCAAGATCTGTTAAAGAAGTTTCTTGGAGGGAGAGAGTTTGGCCAAAAGCCAGTCTTCCTCACTGGAGCTTTAATGACTGGCAATAGGATGTTTTCAATAGATTAATCTACCTCAGTAAAACACCACATACACACACATGTACACACATGTGCAGGCACACATCCATATATCTTTGAAAAGCCGATGCTATTTTTAGAAGATACAGAACTAAAATGAATGCTAATTCTTTCAGGGAAATTTTATCCTAAAACAAACATACTTTGGACATACTAGGTGGATGGGGAAATCTCTTTTTTCTTTTCTAAATCATACTCCAAAATTTCAGGTACTTACAGACTTATATAAAGAAATGAGGTTAGATTGTAAATAAAAACCTTATTATACCCTGTTCTACTTAACTGACTCTTGGCTTAATCACGTAGTCGCTACAGGACAAACAGAAGAGGGAGAATTAATGAAAGAGAGAAGGATGCAGAAGCCTTACAGATTATCAGGGTCTCTCAGCCACGGACATGTAGGATCTCTTAAACTCTACCTTCATTGTGCCCTAAGCAAGAAGTAAGGACTCAAAAAGCCGTCTCATTTTCTGGCCTTTGGAAATAGTCATCACAGCCAAGTCATTTGAAGTTCTTTGTTCCCCTAACCTCATTCACCTTAGCAGTGTGGTACACAACTGTTAAGTTAGGCCAACAAGCACTTATTAAGTATGTGCTACATGCTGGGTACAGAGATAAGTGCTGGTCTTACAACGAAAAGCAAAAACAGTCCCATCCTTAAGAATCTCACAGAATAATGGAGGAGACCACATGCAAACAACTGTGTCGAGCAAGATATGTACAAGATAAATCAAAGATAATCCAAGAAGAAAAGCGCAAGGATTAAGGGGGAGCTCCAGGAGCAATCCTTTTTAGCATCAGGGAAACATGCTCAGAAATACAGGAGAAAATACCTAGCAATGGCCAAATCCTATTGTTACAGTGCTATGTTGCAGTGAGGCCACCCTGCTGCCTTTCTCCCTTTCTAAGCACTGTAGCATTCTCTATGGGCAATATGAGTAGAGCCAGCTTCCAAATGATCAGAGTAAAGGTCTTGTTTCTTTCGCTTATATGGGCTGGCTGTAAGCATGTCCAACCTTAAAGAGAAACTGAGATACTCCTGAAAGGCTCCTCTATACTGTTTCTCTTCTTGTGCTAATAGAGAAGAGAGGAAGACGTAATGAAGTAAGAGAGACTGACAGAGCAAGAGAGTCAACCTTCCTAGTTGATTCACAGAGATTGATTTTTTCTTCAAGGATGAAAGGAAAATAAAAAGCACACACATGAAAGTTTAGTCTGTTGCTTGTGAAGGAAGAGAGATGGTGCCTCCCCCTTAGACCAATGGGACAGGGAGGAAGGGAAAGGAATAAACATTTATATATCATCTACTGTGTGGTAAACACTTTTACAAATGTTACCTCATTTGATCCTGATAACAGCCCTGCAGTATAGGTGCTATTATTATTCCATTTTTTTACAGTTGAAGAAATTGAGGCAGATGGAGGTTAAATGACTTGCCTAGAGTCACATGATTGGTGTCTGAAGTTGGATTTGAACTTAGGTCTTTCTGACTCCAGGCCCAGCACTCTATCCACCAGCTGCCTCAAGTAGAGACAATAGAGAGAAAGGGAGATAATTTAAAGCATGCTTATTCTCTAGCCTGCACACCTAGGCCTAAATCCAGCCTATGCTCTGTGCTTTTCTTTACATATTATGGTCTCACACATGCCATAGAGTATTTTTCCTATGACCCTCTGGTCTTTGTCATAGTCTTTCACCTTCTCTTTGAGCCTTGGGAGTGATACTGCATACTTTTCATTCCATGTCAGATGTTTTAGAGGTTTGAAACTGTGTGTTGAGACAGACCAAGGGACCAGAATGAACGAGTCCTGTTCTGAATGGAAGACCATCTCCCTGATTTAGGCATGTGGTACCAAATACTGCCTTTTTATTCAGTCTGTTACTTTTGTTCAAGTTGTCACTTGCATGACTCATTGACCAATGTTACTACTCAGCTGTATAGTTTTCCTATATAATTTCTTTGTGATATTTGTAGGCTATGTAGGAAACTAGCATGCAATTATATTTATGATAAAAAGTATTGGCACATTTGTCTCAATTTTTAGAAAATATAACTAATATTTTAAACTTTCTCCACATAATTGTGATCCTTTTTTGGCCCACTGGCTCTAGAAATTATAGTCACATATCCTGTATTCCCTTTGTTGAAATCTTTTGAAGTTAAAGTTATAAGTAATAGGTATTTTACGTGTCTACAAAATAAGCATTGACTTCATGGTCACAGATGAAATACGGAACTGCATGAATTACTCTTCTGATCCATTACAATATTTCTTATCTCAAAGATATTTCTTATCTGTAATGCTTTCCTTTTGCTTTTAACAATATGGCCTTTTAAGCCAAAATTTCTGTTTATCTTTTTGTACCCACAAGAGAGGAAGCCTTTTGTGACTGTACTATTCAGGCAAAATGAAATGGAGAATTAGGGCAATTATCTGAATAACTTTGCTGTTGAGGGGAAAAAAGAGGTGGATTAAAAAAAAACCAGTTATTTAATTCAGTTCATATTTTTTGTCTAGATCAATGAGTTTCACTAGATAATTACGCAACTCTCCATTTCCCCTTGCCTTGATAGATACAATCTACATCTGTTCTATTGCATAATGAGCTAATTGCTTGTAAGGTACTATAAAAGGGGCAACCTTTTTAAAATCAGCCTGTGGAGGTATACAGTAACATAAAATCTGAATGTAGCATTTTATGGAAAGACTTCAATGAAAATTAACGATTCTTCAGTGTTCTGTTCTTCAGTGTTCTCTAGGTACAGTAAGATTGGAAGTTGGAAGAATCAAAACAGGTTCATTCCATTCAGAGAGGAGGACATCCCAAAGTAGCCAGGTTGGTAATTGTGGCATTCCAAAGAGCAGAATTCTGCCTCCCTACACCACAAAGAAATTAAATATATTATAAGACCATTAGGGTCAGATAGCACTGAATCAAAAGGTCATTGGTAGGGGCAAGTGAAGAATATGGAAACTTTTTTTTTTCCTTTGAGGAAGGAGGGCTGGATGAAAATCGGTTTATTCCCTTGTAGCCAAACCCGTTTTTAGCTTTTTATTTAAAAAATATTGACAGCTTTTGCTTTTATATCACCTTTATCTCTACATAGATTTCTCCCTACTCTTCTCCCTAGAGAGTCATCCCATCTGATAAATAATAGGAAGAAAGAAGGAAGGAAGAAAGGAAAGGTGGAGGGGGGGAGGGATCAGTTCAGTAAAGCTAACCAACACATCAATAGACCAACAAAAAAAAACAAAAAAAAAACCATGAGATAACATATTAAGGCCACACTCAATCATTAGAATACGCAGTGTTACTAAAGTGAAGACTATAGAAACCAAGACACAGTTTTGATATTTGAAACTTCCCAAGTCATCAAGAAATTCAGTTCATCAATCATTTGTTACATAACTACTATATAAAAAGCATTGTTGTTCTGGATGATAATAAAGTTTCAAAACTTTCAAGCTGTTTGCAGTATAATAAAAAGGATAGAATGTATACATAGGTTAGTGTAATCCAAAGAAAGAGGAAAGAGTAAATCCGGGTCAAATACTTGAGTAGGGAGATCATGGTACTTGGACAGGGTGACTGGTGGGTAGGAAAAGCTTTATGTATGAGGTGCTACTTGGGCTGGGTCTTAAAGAAAGAAAAATATTTCAAAAGAAGGTGAGGAAGTAGCACATTATGTGTGTGGAAAATGGCTTATGTAAATATATGGAGGAGAGAGAAGTAAGGATGAGATTGGGGAAGAGCTTATAATGTTGTTTTCCTAGAATACTGTGAAGTAAAGCTGGGAAGGCTGAGTTGGAGATGGATTAGGCAGAGACTTAAATGTGAGGCTGATGAGTTCAGATTTTATTCTAGTGGTAGTAGGGAACCACGTGTGGATGTGTGTGGAAACTAGTTAACTAGTTTATAGTTACCCCTGACACTGAGTCCCTGTGGAGACAACAAAAAATGAAATACGCAAAAGAAATGATTGCCTAATGTGTTTGTTTGTTGTTGTTGTTGTTGTTTTTGCTGGAAAACACCTCCCCCTACAAAGCATGGGTTCATAGCACTCGGAAAATGTAAATATCTTCTCAAAAATCTGTTGTCTTTCTAAGTAGGATTCCACCAAACTATCTTGGAAAGAAACCTTAAAATCTTGTATGATAGCACATTCTAGTGTTATTAACCTTAAAGTAGAAAATTCTTAATAATCCAGTTTAATTTCCTCCTCTTCTAATTTAAGTTCATTTCCTTTGTGTAAATGAATGACACAGGGATCACCACACATACATTATCCCATTGTATACTTCAAGATTAAGAAGTTAATAGAAGCAGTTTAGTGTCATGGATAGAAAGATGGTCTTGAAGCCAGAAGGAGCTAGGCTCAAAAACTGCCTCTGACACCGTAGGGCTATTTCTCCTGGGCAAGTCACTTAATCTCTCGATGTTCTAGGCAACTCTAAGACTGTAAATTGCATAAAAGATGCCAGCTTGCATTGGTAGAGGGAATTCCTTCACCTGGGAATTTTTTACATGAATAAAATCACAGTTTGAATTTTTATCCTAGTATTTCAGTGTGGTTAAAATCCTTTTTTTCCCTAGAGACTAAATAATCCCATTTCACCAGCATTTTCATTTCTCATTTTTTTAAAAAAGTGTTATTGTTCTTTTTTTGTTTTCCATCACTTTCACTTCCAACTGTATTCCTCCAACCTTCCCTGCTCTCAAGCTATCCCTTATAACAAAAACAAAGAACAAAAAATATCGTCATTATGGGTACTATTCCATCACCACAACCTCTCACCTAACATCTTTTAATCTTTTCCTTTCAACCCTCTCTAAATGGTCTACATTTTATTTTCATTACATAATCCTGGAACTAGAGGAAGTAACAATGAAGACAAAACAATGCTGAAATCTAGATGGAATTATTTTGTAGCTAGCTAAATATTATTCCCAGGTCTTTACCTGTATTCATGCATAAAATCAATTTTCCCTCAAATTTTTTTGGTGAAATTGACTTTTGTTTTCTAAATGAATCTAAATATTTCTAAATAATGGTGGCCTTTGCCACCATTAAACATACAGCATCATAGACTTTGAAAAGGACTCAGAGCTCTATTCTATCTAAATCGTGAATCTTATCTACAACTTCCTTGGAAATGAGAGGTCACCCAGCCTTACCTTCAACACCTCCAGCTCTAAAAAGTTCACATTACCTGAGGAGTATCACCCCATTCCATTTTTTGTTTAGATGCAATGATTGGGGAGGTTTTATTTGTATTGTGTTGAAATCTGCCTCTCTGTTACTTCAGACTGTTGGTCCTGTCCCTATTTGCCAAAGAGAACCAGTCCAGTCTTTTTTTAACCCAATACATGGAAAATTGATTTTCTATCTCTTCAGTCCTCAGGTTCTCAGGGCTATCTTAATTTGAACTCTTTCCCCTCTGATTTTAATTACCTCTCTCAAGTTTAAATGGTGATATCCCAATGAATGAACTTGTTCTTTAACTGCATTTAGAGTGATTCATTGCACAGAGCAGGATCTCTGTGTGTGTGTGTGTGTGTGTGTGTGTGTGTGTGTTCATTTATCAGGCCTATTGACATGCTTCCCTGGTTGATGGCAAGTGACCTTTAATAATGGTTTGTGCATAGACCTATAATAATGATTTCATCACCTAAAAGTATCATGACTTGAAATGTTATTATTTTCCCAGTTTGATAAGAATATTGTCTTCAGAATCTCTCAAAGTCTTTTTGAAGTTAAAGCTGATTTATCTTGGATTCTATAAGCTTTGTAATTTGGCAAATTTAGCCAATGAAAAAGTCAGCAAAAATGAAATGGCATAAGAAAAGGCAAAGTCAGCCTCCGAAATAGAACATTATCAGTGTGAGCCTTAATTTTTAAATGTTGCATGAAAAGAAACCAGTGAAATGGATTTTAGAATTAAGCAGTTTTCTTATTATTGCTTTCTAAACTTAAAAGAATAATTGAGATTTTATTTTTTTCTAGATGAGTGAAGGAAGTCTGTCATCCTTCACTTTTCCTCTTTCTGGATCCAGCACATCAGAGGCATTTGACAGTGTTTCAAAGAAGAATGCCTGTAAGATTAACTTCATATTTGAATTAAATTGTGTATTAAAGGGGGATTTTCTTCCACTAAACTTGATCTACAGTCTTTTCCTCTAAAGTATCTTAATAATGTGGAAAGTTTTTATGTGTTCTGCTCTATTCCAAAAAAGTTATATCCATTGGAGACTGAACTTTAAAAGTATAGGTCTGGTGTTCTACTGGATAAAGTGCTGATCAGGCAACTGGTTTTATATCTTGGTTCTGATGTTACCTAGACCCATGGGCAAGTCACATCAGCTCACTGAGCTTCAGTTCACTCATCTGTAAACTGGTAAAGTGGAGGTAGTAGTATTTGGACTGTCTGCTCACAGGGCTGTTGTGAAGATGGCACTTTGTCAGATTTAAACTGTCTAAGTATACATTTAAATGTTTACTATATATATGATCCAGATGTTCTCAAGGATCTTGCAGTCTTTTTTTTGTGAGGCAGTGGAGTGAAGTGACTTGCCCAGGGTCACACAGCTAGTAAGTGTCAAGTGTCTGAGGCCAGATTTGAACTCAGGTCTTCCTGAACTCAGGTCTTCCTGAACCCAAGGCTGGTGCTGTATCCACTGCAAAGTCCTCTTGCTGGAGGAAAGCAAATAAGTAACTGTGATACAGAGAATATGTGATTGCAACAAGAAGTCAAGTAGATAAATATTCATTAAGTGCCTACTATGTGCTAGGCATTAGGCTATGAGCTGAGGATGCAAAGAAAGGGGGGGCGCAGCCCCTACTCTCAAGGAGCTCATAGTTTAATGTGGGAAACAAGTAAATAACTATGTGCAAACAAGATTATGTGTGTGTGTATACATACATATATATATATATATATATATATATACACATATATATGTATATAGTAAACTGGAAAAAAAAATCTGAGAGGGAAAGCACTAGGAATTAAGGAAGACTGGGAAAAATTAGTAAAATATGCAACTTTAGCTGAGACTTGAAGTTGAGAAGCCAGGGGCTAGAGATGAAGAGGGATAATGTTCCAGGCATAGGGGAAAGCCACTGAAGTAGGAAGATGGAGTATCTTGGTTGAGGAACAGAAAGGAGGCCAGTGTCACTAGATTGTAGAATATGTCGGGGTGAGTGCAGAGAAGGGAGAAAGGTATAAGAATATCGAAAAATTAGGAAGGGTCAGGTTATGGAGTGTTTTAAAAAATCAAAAAAGGATTTTATATTTGATCCTGTAGGCAATAGGGAGCCAATGAAGTTTATTGAATAGGGGGGTGAAATAGTCATACCTGCACTTTAGGAAAATCACTTTGGTAGCTCAGTGGAAGAAGACTTGGTGTGGGGCAAGGCATAAGGCAGGGACACCAACCAGAAGGCTATTGCAGCAGTTCAAGCATGAGGTTATAAAACCATACACCAGAGTGGTAGAAGCGTCAGAGGAGATGGGAGCATATGTAATAAATATAATAAATTATAGAATCCACATTACCTGGCCACTAATTTGATATGGGGGTTGAGACAGAGTGAGAAATATAAAGTGACCCAGTTTTAAGTCTGGATAAGACATTTGAAAGAGCTCTTTTTTCAACCAGGGAGGTATGTGTGTGTAAAGCAATATGCAGTGAAGACAGAAATGGAGTGATCCAGAGAGACTTTAAGGAAATGGCATCTGAATTGGGCTTTGAAGAAATGAACTTTTAATAGATGGAAATGGAGGAGAGAATTATTCTAGCCAAGATTTATGGCTTATTATTATTGCACAAGTAGGATTGAATAGGATGGACTTAGATGGCGTATATTTTAGCAAATGCAAATAGGCTTTGCTTTAAGTAACTAAATCCTAGGGAATTACTTTTAGGAACAAAGAAATTAAAGGGCTTGCCTGGGGTCACCTGGTTAGTAAGTGTCAGAATTGGAATTTGAATACAGATTTTCTTGACTCTAAGCCCAGCTTTCTTGAACTACAATGCTTTTTCTTGTATTATTATCATTACTGTTATTAAATTGGGATCCTATAAACTTTTCTTATTAGGCAGTTTGGTATTTTTATTACTTTTTTCTATTAACATTAAAAAAAATTCTGCATATATATGAGGCACTCCCATAGTAAACACTGATTTTTCCATAATTATTTTATTTTTAAACTGAGAACTCATGCTTTCCCTCTGATGTGTAAATTATGTGAAAATTGCATCAGAGGAATTTTGGCCACAAGTATTGGTTAAGGCTTGCCCAAATTTGTGAAACTAACCATATGGTGGTCTTAGTTTTCATTTTTTCAGTACTTCAGGGGTCCATGATTTCATTTATATAGGTACTTCTTTTACTGGCTTAGGTTAAAAATATATCACCTGGTAGCCAGGACCCTGGTGAATTATACTTAGCTAGATTATTCCTCACATGATAGGTGCTTAATATGTCATTGATTCTATACTCAGAGACTGCTGCTTGACAGGGTGGGACTACCAGAGACTGTTATCTTCACAGCCCCCAAGAACCCAGGGTTATCTCTGTGCCCCAAGAAGGCATTAGAGTTGGACTTCAATGAATTATTCAGCTTAAAATGTGTTTAGTATTAACAACATTAAAATACTCGGATCCTTAGGTTGTTTTATATGAAGTTATAACCATAGTCCCTGATGTTGTGCATTCATGCCTTTGTAAAGAGACTTTTGTAAAGAGTTCTTCTCTTAACTCATTAAGAGTGGATTATGTAGTTAGATAGTATATAAAGTGACAAGGAAGAAAGTGGGGGTGGTATAAGGTTAGTTCTAACTTTTAGAATAGGAAAATGTATTAAAAAGGGTGGATTGATAGTAGGTAATAGTTTTGTAGTGATTCTTCCAAACAAATAAGTGTGAACCACCCATCTCATAACACACCCCATGTCAGGCACTGTTTGCACTTCATTTGATTGGGTTAGCCTATTTTATTAACATTATCATTGTAATAACTGTATTTCATACTTTTTCATTTTACAGTGGCTTTGGAAATACAAGGATTAAGAACAGTTGAAATAAAAAAGGTAAATTGGACCAGAAAGCCATATAAACTATTCAGTTGAGAGAGACAGTGAAATCTATTTTCTGGATAGCTGTCTTGCCATTTTAAGATACCCAGTGGGGAAAAAAAATGTTTGTTTAGTACAATATGGCCTGGTTTTATGGAGCAGAAGTAGGAAGCAGAGATTGCAAAATTCCCTGAGGAAAGTAACTATTAAGTGTTGTAAAATATCCATTCATAGGCAGTATAAGGGTAAAGGCCTTTTTGTTTACAGTGAATGGATCTGGAAACTTTTCACTTGTTCTTTAAAAAATTGTTAAGACCATACTTTTCATTTTGTCTGCAAAAATAGAATCATCTCACATTTTAAAAATGTGCCACCTTTCCTCCTCTTACTTTTCCTTTATTATCAAACTGAGCACCTCCCTGCAACAGACATTTCTTAATTTGACCATTAAAAAAGAGATAAGAGAAATCTGAGTATGTTTAAAATAATATTTTATTTTTCCCCAGTTACATGCAAAACCAATTTTTATTTTTTTTAAGTTTTGAGTTCCAAAGTTTATCCCTCTTTTCCTCACCTCCCTCCTCCCTGAGATGTTATACATGGGCAATCATGTAAAACATTTCCATATTAGTCATTTTGGGCAAGAAAACTCAAAAAAAAAAAAAAGAAAAGAGTGAAAAATAGTATGCTTCAGTCTGTATTCAGACAGTATCAGTTCTTTTTCTGGAGATGGATAGAATTTTCATCATGAGTGAGTCCTCTGTGATTATCTTGGATCATTGTATTGCTGCGAATAGCTAAGTCATTCACAGTTCATCGCGCAATATTGCTGTTACTGTGACAGTGTCTTCCTGGTTTTGCTTATTTCACTTTGTATCAATTCATGTAAGGTTTTCAAGTTTTTTCCTGAAATCATCTTGCTTGTCATTTCTTATAGCACAATAATATTCCCTTACAATCATAAACCACAACTTGTTCAGCCATTCCCCAATTGATGGGCATCCCCTCAATTCTGAGCCACCAGAAAAAGCTGCTGTAAATATTTTGTATGAATAGATTCTTTTCCTTTTTCCAAAAATTTCTTTGGGATGCATACCTAATCGTAGTATTGCTAGATCAAAGGCTGTGCACAGCTTTATAGACCTTCAGGTATAGTTCCAGATTGTTCTCCAGAATAACTGGATCAGTTCACAACCCCACCAACAGTCCATTAGTGTAACCCTTCTTCCACATCCCCTGCAACATTTATCATTTTCCTTTTTTGTTGTGTTAGCCAGTCTGATGGGTGTGATGTGGTACCTGAGAATTGTTTTAATTTGCATTTCTCTAATCAGTAGCGATTTAGAGAATTTTTTCATATGACTACAGAAAGCTTTGCTTTCTTTTTCTGAAAACTGCCTGTTCATATCCTTTGACCATTTATCAATTGGGGAATGACTTGTAGTCTTATAAATTTGACTCAGTTCTCCAAATATTTGAGAAATGAGACCTTATCAGAGATACTTGCTATAAATTTTTCTCCTAGTTTTCTACTTTCCTTCTAATTTTAGTTGTATTAGTTTTGTTTGTGCAAAAACTTTTAATTTTATATAATCAAAATTAGTCATTTTACATTTCATAGTGCTTTCTATATCTTGTTGGTCCTAAATTCTTTCTTTACCCGTACATCTGACAGGTAAATTATTCAATACTCTCCTGTTTTGTTTATGGAAATCTGAGTGTATTAAAAGTTTAATTTTTATTAATTTCTCTTACTTGATAGGACCATTCTTAGAGTAAGTAATGTTGCCATAGTCCAACTGTGATTCATTTAAAGGAAGTTCAATGACTGATGGGCGTAAAACATGCATGCATAAACTCAGAATGAAACTGAGTGCTACAAATTGTGTGACTTATGCATGGAATTCAGAGCCTTTCTGTTTTCCTGCCCCACCACGTTTGAGCTAGTTTCTGATCCAGCCACTGCGTTCTCCCTCTGGTCCCTTAGTTTAGGAACCTGCATTTTTCTCTTCCTCCTTTTCCTCCCTTACCTTCCATGGCACCCCTTTAAGTAACTCTGACACTTTAAGGACCAGTCCGAAGCTTCTTGCTCCTTTCTGCTCAGAAATCTTCTACTCCCAGCATTTCTTTAGTCCCAGAAATGAAAATTTGGAGGAATAAAACAGTCCACCCCGACTACTTCCCCAAGGTTGTTTGGAGAATAAAAATGAGATAGTATTTGTAAATTACTTTGTAATCCTTAAAGTGGCATATAAATATTAGTTGTTATTAATGGTAATAATAATAACAATACCATCAATGAACAGGTCATGGTTTCTACTACAGATAAAGATATAAATGTCTTAAATCTGGCTTTCTACTCTTCATGTCCCACCATAAGATAGGAGTATATTTATGAAATATTATGCATCAGAATTCAGATGAAGCATGACTTTTTAAATTTTATTTTTCTTCTCTTGGCAGGGACCTGCTGACTCACTGGGAATCAGCATTGCTGGAGGTGTAGGCAGTCCACTTGGTGATGTCCCAATTTTCATTGCCATGATGCATCCAAATGGAGTTGCTGCACAGACCCAGAAACTCAGAGTAATTTAACTGTATACGTCCTCAGACATATTTCTGGTGGGAGAATTTGGTGCAAAATTTCTCTCAGACCTTTATTGCTGTATTGTAAATCAAAACTTCTATAACTCAAATAGTACAAATCAAAGTTGGGGTAGAGGTATTTCTGGTAAAAAGTAGAATACTTGTAATGAAAGAAGAAAATTATTTGATAACTCCAAATTCACGAACAAGAAAAAGGCAGTAGTATATAGATATATCTTAACATTTTTGGCTTAATTAAAACTATAGCAAGATAAAATATATAATAAGTACTAAATTTTACTTTGAATTTGAACATATATTTGGTTTGAAAGTCTTCTTTGGCCTCTTGAATTAAGTGATAGTTACATAGAAGTTAGATAAGATTATGAATTTTATCCAAGGTCAGTGTAATATCACAACATTATAACTTCTTTTGGATACACATCCTGGGGGTCTTCCTGTCGACTCCAGCAGCCCCACTCCCTGTGAATAACCTATGAGATGCTTTCTGTTGTGAGAGCTGTTGTTCAGTTTGGCTAAAAACTTTTATCTTTTTTTCTTAAAGGTAGATTAAGTGTGTGTGAAATGATCCAGGCACTAATATATCTCTGAGAAAAGCTGCCACAAGTGGGTCCACATAATTAAAGCATTCTATAGGAATATTCCACTTATACTGAAACTGTGCCCCAGTTTGGGATAAAATGCCGGTCCAAAGGGATTCAGCCTGATAAATCCTGGCTTTAAAATCTTATGTGCAGCCCAGATAGCATTCCAGACACGTTAGATGACTAGATCGTTAAGGATGAAGGAAGAAACAGCCTCCAAATTCACCAACTGTATCAATATAAGGCAATTAAATTCTATAAGCATTTGTCATGCACATACTATGTGCTCCTGGAAATATACATTCTACTACAGAGGAAAAAAAATGTATGCGTATAAGCAAATACAGAATTCTATTCAAAATAAATACCGAATAATTTCAAAGTTAGAGGGAACCTGCAACTAGGGGAAACTGAAAAGGTTTCTTAAGGGAACTTAGACTTGAGTTAAGGCATGAAGGTTGCTAGAGGTTCTAAGAGGGAGAATTGAGAAGTGAGAGCATCCTTGGAGCAGTGGACAGCCATTGTAAAGGAATGGAGATAGGAGATAAATGGTCTTATTTTCTCTGCCTTCCAACTTACAGTACTTTTAAAAATTTGCAAATGGGGAATTATGATTTATAATGAAGTAGAAAAGGAATTGGTCTTAGGACTTCTGAGGTCCAAATACCTGAATTTTCAGGAATACCCATGCTAACTTAGTTGTAATAATGGTTTGTGTTCTCTTTCCCCTTGCCAAGGTTGGGGATAGGATTGTGAGTATTTGTGGAACGTCAACTGAGGGTATGACTCATTCCCAAGCAGTGAGCTTACTGAAAAATGCTTCTGGCTCCATTGAAGTACAGGTAATAGTTTTCTCTAAGTACAGGTAAGAGTTTTTTAGGATGTGGGTTGCTTAAGGATAAATGATGTAAAACAAAGGCAAAACAAAAACCCCAAACTATTAAACCGTTAATGCTGTCATTTTCACATTTAGCATTTCCTTCTTAAATGTATAAATTCAAGGATTCTAGGCAAGAACTAAAGAGGTACTTTCTTCAACATATTTTTTTAAGGAAGAAATTAAAAGACTTTACTTTTCAATTATTGTTAGACTTTTGAATGAGAGAGAGGCCAAGATTTCCAAAGAAAACTCTAAAGAGTAATATAAGATATCATTTAAGTAAAATGAAGAAACCTTTGCATTTGTAGATACAATGTGTATGACAATAACAATAATATTGTAAAAACAAACAATTTTCAAAGACTTAAGAACTCTGATCAAACAGTGACCAATCATAATTCCAGAGGACTCAAGATGAAATGGGCCATCAACCTCTGATGGGGAGGCAATGGCCTCTGGGTAGAGATTGAGACTTTTTTTTGACAGGTCAATATAGGGATTTCTTTTACTTGACTATATGTATTTGTTAGGAGGATTTTGTTTTTCTTTTTCAGTTGGGTGAAGGGTAGAAGGCAGAGAATGTAAGTTTTCGTTAATTGAAAAAATAAAATTTAATTTTAAAAAGTTTAACAATATGTTGAGGATCCTCTGTCCCATGGGAAATTCTCTTTAATGTGTGTGACTATATTTTTTTAAAATTACTGACAAAAAAAGATTGATGTTGAGATCAGCATCAGTCACATGAACTCAGGGAATCTTATTGTGCCTCTCTTTTGCATACAGGTGGTTGCTGGAGGAGATGTTAGTGTGGTCACCAGCCCACAGCAGGAGCCAGCTGGCTCTGGTCTTTCCTTTACAGGCCTGACATCAAACAGTATTTTTCAGGATGATTTGGGGTGAGCTCATATATTTTTGTTGATGTAAAATTTAAGGGTATTCAGCATTTGAAATGTGAAATTGTGAAGAATAACTGAAAAGAAGCAAGAATGGTTTCACAACTCTTTATTTCCTATAATACCAGCCACTCATTCTCCATTCTTAATACCATGACCATCCCAATTCCTTGCAACACTGATGTATACATGAAAAATAATAATAAAGTGGGCAAAAGCATCATGAATTCCTCTGCTCAGTTAAAAAGTATAATGGAATGGAAAAACTATGTTGGTTTAGTTGTGTTGTGGTAGATAGACAACTCACCTGGGAACTAGGTTCAGATTCTCCTTTTGACCCGTCTCCACTGTGTAACCCTGAGCAAGTCACTTAAGCTTTCAATTGTCTAAGCAACTCTCCGAGACTAAGTTGCAGAGAAAGTGCTGAAGCTTGAAGGTATTTCTTTAACTGGGAACTTCCTTCTTGTTGTTTAGTGGTTTTCAATCATGTCTGACTCTCTGCGATCCCATTTGCGGTTTTCTTAGCAAATATGCTACAATGTTTTGCCATTTCCTTTTCCAGCTCATTTAACAAATGAAGAAACTGAGGCAAACAGGGCTAAGTAACTTGCCCAGGGTCACAGAGCTAGTAAGTTTCTGATGACTCCAGACCCAGTGCCATATCCACTGTACTACCTACCTACTCCTGGGAACTTCCTACATTAGTGAAATTACAGGTCAAGCCCCTATCCCTTTATAGATGCTGAGTGAATTAAAACCATTGCCAAATGGAACATGGCTTCTCATACTCACTCACCTCAGGCTTGGCTTGGTAGGCTAGACAAGCTGGTATGGTCTGGCCCACTGCATGAGGTGGAGTTGTCAAATTGTGTCTTTTGTCCTATAGCCTATTAGAAGTAAGCCCTGCAATTGACAATTACCTAATCTCCTTTTCCATGAATGCAAAAGCTTGGAATCACACAATAAATGATGACACAGATAAATGAAGTGTGTTTGCAAATGACTGGATGCTATTGTGGCATTTATTTTCTTGTAGGCCTAGTTCTTGTCTCTGCACAGTAGGATGCTCATATAAATCACATTACTTGAATAGTCCACTAAATTGCAGCCCTCTCTCTCTAAAGTAGAGAACAAATAACCTTCTGGGCTGAGTGAGAACATGCTGTGAATATCTTAGTGTATAACGGAACTGTAAATGAGTAATAGATTTAAGGTGTTAAGTGGGATTTCATTAGATTATGCAAATTTAGAATTTCCAGCATAGCAAACATTAGCAAGTTAAAAACTACTCATGATATACCTGCTGCCAGCAATGGGCTGACCAACTAACTTTCTTGTCAGATAATTCCATATATATCAAATCCACACCCACATACTAAAAATCCTTTTTTTTTTTTTCCTTCTACTTTAGCCCTCCTCAGTATAAGAGTATTACCCTTGACCGGGGACCAGATGGTCTGGGCTTCAGTATAGTGGGAGGATACGGCAGCCCTCATGGAGACTTACCCATTTATGTTAAAACAGTATTTGCAAAGGTAAGAATACACATTTTAACCATCCCATTCTCCCCCTAAACATTCATTATTAGTGGTCAGCAGCTGGCTTATTAGTTTATGGCCTGAGGTAAATGCCAAATGGCCAGCAGTTGATCATTTTCTTTGGGAACTCCCTATAGGAACGAGCTATTAAATATTTTTGTCCGATTTGACACCTAGTTACATTTATAGGGAAATGAACCTAAATTGAAATTGGATGTAATGCTAAGGAAACACTCTATAGACATGTAGTTAAAATTCATTTAGTCATTGGGACCTCTCCTTTTATCATTGAAAACAGAACATAATTATACAAGGTGACCTTAAACTCTTAGTACAGTTTTCAGCTTGAATAGTTTAAATATTTTATTATACGTAGATAAATCCCAGAGGTCATGAAGTTCTAGGTTGGGAGTCAGGAAGACTTGTATTCAAATCTGGCTCAGATACTTCCTGGTTATGTAAACTTGGGCAAGTCATGTAATTAACCCTTGTAATAGCACCTTTCTCCTAGGTTTGTTATGAAGATAAAATGAGATAATAATTGTAAAACACTTAGTATAGAGTCTGTCACGTAGAAATGTCAGCTAGTCCAAGGATACTCTATCCTTTCAGTCAACCAATCAGCAAACATTAAGTTCTTACTGTATGCCAGGTTCTGTCCTAAGTTATTGAAAATAATAACAAAATAACAATGCTAAGCTAAACCTTGAAAATAAATAAAATGTAAATATTTTTGTCATTTTCATATTATTGTTGTACTTGATAGGGTCCATTATTTCATTGCTGTGAGTTCTTTCTTCAGTAAGTCAATTTGTATCCTATCTATGCTTCAGTAGATAGTTTCAGTGAGTTGTTATGACCAAACAACAACAAAAACAGCAAAAAGTTCATCACCCAGCATCCAGCCCCTGATGATGTATTTCTTCAAATTTAGCTAAGCTGGTCCCTGTATAAGAGATACACAATCTCTGGCCAAACCAGTTCGGTAGGAACTTCCATAGTTCATACTTGATTAAAATAGTCTTTGCAAGTCAAGGATCCTACCTGCACCAGAATGAGGGAGGCTTCTGGGTAGAATTGTTAGTTCATGGAATAAACTATCAAATCAGAATTTTAGCCCTGCAAAGGAGCTTAGAGGACATCTAAACCAAGTTCCTCATTTTACAGTTGAGAAAACTGAAGCATAGAAAGGAGTTATGGCTTGTCCAAGGTCATAAACTAGTTCCTGATAGAGCTTGGACTAGACTCTTTGTTTCTTCATTTCTAACCTCTGCACTTTTTCCTGCTACATTTTGTCACTTTAATTGGCAATCTGATATACACAAACCATACACTTTCTTATGCCCTCCCTTATGTAGTTATATCATTTCCATCAAAGAACCCCATAATAGCTACAATTGCCTCTCATTGCAAAAGGCACTTAATAATAATGAATTTTTAATGCTTCTCACCCAGTGGCTCTTTGCACTTTTCACTTAGAGACTTCAGGGGAATTGTGATTTTATTATGTGATTGTTCCTTCCATCAGTGCAAGTCACAACATATCCATATCTTCTTGTACTGTACAAATCTTGAATCCTGTCTGTGTTCTCCCATAGCTTCTCCATACAGAAGCTATCCAATATATGTAAGACTCCTTCCTTTAAATCAGCAGCTTTTGACATTGTTTTGTTTTTGTGTTTTTTGTTTTCTGAGGGACGGCTTTAGCAGTCTGAACCCTTTTAAGAACAATGTTTTTGAATGCATAAAATCAAATACAAAACATTTTTCACACAAATAAAGTCAGATCTAAATAATTGGAATAATATCAGTTGAGGGGACAAGTGAGGTGGCACAGTGGATAGAGCACCGGCCCTGGAATCAGGAGGACCTGAGTTCATATCCGGCCTCAGACACGTAACACTTACTAGCTTTGTGACTCTGAGCAAGTCACATCACCCCATTGCCTTGCCAAAAAAAAAAAATTCAGTTGCTCTTGGGTAGGCTGAGCTAATATAGTAAAAATGACAACTCTACCTAAATAAATGTACTTATTCAGTACCATACCAATCAAACTACCAAAAAATTATTTTATAGAGCTAGAAAAAATAATAACAAAATTCATTTGGAAGAACAAAAAGTCTATAATATCAAGGGAATTAATGAAAAGAAATGCAAGGGAAGGTGGCCTGGCAATATCAGATCTCAAATTATATTATAAAGCAGCAATCATTAAAACTACTTGGTACTATCTAAGCAACAGAGTAGTGGATCAGTGGAATGGGTTTAGGTGCACAAGATATAGTAGTCAATGACTATAGTAATCTATTGTTTGATAAACCCAAACACTTCAGCTTCTGGGATAAGAATTCACTATTTAACAAAAACTGCTGGGAAAACTGGAAAATTGTATGGCAGAAACGAGGCATAGACCAACATCTTACACCATATACCCAGATAAAGTAAAAATGGGTATGCATTTTAGATATAAAAGCTGATACTATAAGCAAATTAGGAAAGCAAGGAATAGTTACCTGTCAGATCTATAGAGAAGGGAAGAATGTATAACCAAATAAGAGGTGGAGAACATTATGAAATGCAAAATGACTAATTTTGATTGCATTAAATTGAAAAGTTTTTGCATGAACAAAACCAGTGCAACCAAGATTAGAAGGGAAGCAGAAAGCTAGGAAACATTTTTTACAACCCATGTCTCTGATAAAGGTGTAATTTTTAAACTATATAGAGAACTGAATCAAATTTATAAGAAGACAGTCATTCTCCAATTGGTAAATGGTCAAAGGATATGAAGAGGCAGTTTTCAGATGAAGAAATTAAAGCCATCTATAGTTGCATGAAAAAATGCTCTAAATCACTATTGATCAGAGAAATGCAGATCAAAGCAACTCTGAGGTACCATATCACACTTATCAGATTGGCTAACATGACAAAACAGGAAAATGATAATGTTGGAGAAGATGTGGGAAAATTGAAACACTAATGCATTATTGCTGGAGTTGTGAACTGATCCAACCATTCTGGAGAGCAATTTGGAACTATGCCCAAAGGGCTATAAAAATGTGCATAACCTTTGACCCAGCAATACCATTTCTAGGTCTGCATCCCAAAGAGATCATACAAATGGACAAAGGACCCACATGTACAAAAATTCATGTAGTGTCAAAGAATTGGAAATTGAGGGAATGCCCATCAATTGGGGAATGGCTGAACAAGTTGTGGTATATAAATGTAATGGAATACCATTGTTCCATAAGAAATGGACTTCAGAAAAACCTGGAAAGATTTACGTGAACTGGTGCTAAGTGAAGTGGTCAGAACCAGGAGAATGTTGTACACAGTAACAGCAACATTGTGTGATAACTAATTTTGATAGAGTTAGCTCTTCTCAGCAATGCAAGGACCTAAGACAACTCCAAAAGACTCATGATGGAAAATTCTATCCACATCCAGAAAAAGAACTGTGGAGTCTAAATGCAGATTGAAGCATGCTATATACTTTTTTTTGTTTGTTTCTCCTTTTTCATAGTTTCTCCCATTGGTTCTAATTCTTTACAACCTGACTAATGTGAAAATATGTTTAATATGAATGTATATGCATAGCCTATATTAGATTGCATACCATCTTGGGTAGGGGGGAGGGAAGGGGGTGGGAAATTTAGAACTTAAAATCTCATGGAAGTGAATGTTGAATACTAAAATTTAATTAATTAATAAAAATAAAATATACAGCATTTTAAAAGAAACTAATTATTATTATCAAAATATTTTTTAAAAGAAACAAACAACTTGACATCCCACTCTAGGCCTTTTTTATGATCTGTACCTACCTTCATCTCTTCCTCTTGATACTTAACTGGCTTTCTTCTCCTTTTCTGATCATATATTTCCTCAATGGTATTCTTTACATTACTATGTTGCCACACATGCCCTCTTCCCACATTACCATAGAGTGTTTCTCCATTGTCCTTTGGCTCAAAGCATCTCTGATTCTTGAAAAATGATTGTATTGCATTCTATTATTCTATTACAGTGTCCAGTAAACCTGAAAAAACAAGCAAGACCACTAAGCTGAGACTAGGAATAGAAATAAGTGTGAATAGTAATAGGAAGTGAAACTATTAAAGTATTTTCATTTTTGTGTCTCAGAATATTCTCACATCATACCCTCTAACAATTCAATTGAATGTGTACTATCTTAAAGATCCACTACTGGAAAGGGTCATGAGATGGAAGGAAAGAATAAAAGGCCAAAACCCAAGGTCTCAGTGTTTGGAGAATAAACCTCTAAATCTATGGGGAAAGTAGTTTTTTTAGATGGACACCTGGACAGAACTTCCTATATAGAAAAAACAAATTAGAATTCCACAACCTTACAGCCCAGGAGGCTGATGTCAGATCTGTTAACAAAATTTAACGTGAGATTTCAAGAGTGCTGTAGTGCCCATGTGCATATGGAAGTTCATTTTTGTCATTTTAGAAACCACCATTGTTTTCACTGACTTCAAGTATTCTACCTGAAAGCAAGCTAGCTACAGGCATAATTATCCAGATCTATTTAAACTATCTATCCCTTCCTCTAAAAATATAAACATATTTAGTTAAAGTTGAAAAAAACAGTTATTTCTTCAGCTTACGTGAGATTTATTTAAGGCAAGGTGGCTATGTTAAAGTGTTTTTAGTTATAGTTTACTCAGAAATTTTTTCTAGATTTTTAAAATTTTGTTCACAGTTGCAGGGCTCCTACCATGAACGTGCCTCAATGGGCTCTTTAATTCAACTTGTCCAAAACTGAACTCACTATTTCTTCCCCAAACCCTCCCTTCTTCTTACTGCCTGAATACCATCAAGGGTACGACTCTTTTCACTGCACATCATTACCTATCTACTCCTGCAAGTGCTGAACCAAGGTCTGTTCACAACCACCCAAAGACTTGAAATCATCTCTAAATTTAGAATTAGAATTTATGCCCAGTGTCTTCTTAGCTAACTTTCCACAAAAGTGAGCTTCTTATTACTTTATGTTTATTCAGATCTTTTCACTAAAGATGGGTAGAAAGGAAATAATGTATGTTTTAGGGCTGCTAAATATCTCCCGCCCAATTCTATATATTCTTTCTGTAGATTCTAATGCAGGTTGTAGAATCTTGGTTTGATTAATCCTTTCCACAGGGTAAGTCACTTAAGCTTCCCTGCGCCGTAGGGTTCTCATTTGTAGAATGAGTGGATAAAACTAGAGGGTTCCTGTGGTTCCTTCCAGCTCTGGAACTGTCATCCTGTTATCCTACAGTGGTGGTAATTTTTATCAAAAGGAAGTCCTGGGGCAGCTGGGCGGAGCAGTGGATAGAGCACCGCTCTGGAGTCAGAAGGACCTGCGTTCAAATAGAAATCTCGCCTCAGACACTTGACACTTGCTAACTGTGTGACCCCGGGCAAGTCACAACCCTAATTGCCTTGCAAAAAAAAAAAAAAAGAAGAAGAAAAAGAATTTTTGTGAATTTCTATGAAGAACCATATTTCTTAGGTGGTGTCATGTAAAATGGGAGGAGCATCGGACTTGGAACTGGAAGGCTTCAGTTCAAGTCTTTGTAATATCTGTGTGACTGTGCAACCTTGGGCAAATCACTCCAGTTCTCTGGGCCTCAGGTTCCTCATCTGTTAAATGAGGGAATTGGACCAGATGTTCTCTGTATCCTGTTATAATACCACAGAGTTCTAGCTCACATCGGTGTCTCAGCTTTTATCTTAAGTAAAAGTTTTTTTTTCCTTTTATTAACATACATACCACTATCAGATCAAGTGTCCATGGTCCGCTGAGGCCGAGTGTAATGTAGGTGTAATGTAATAAAATTACACTCTGGTTTAGGTCTTCAGTGTCCTGCAACTACAAGGCAGTGTGGTAGATTTTGATTTAATACATTCTGTCTTTTCATCACAATCTCGGATGGGATCAACAGTGTATACAAACCTTCCTCTCCTGATTGAACCTCACTTTTTTTTTTTTTTTTTTGCGAGGCAATGGGTTTAAGTGACTTGCCCAGTGTCACGCATCTAGTAAGTGTCAAGTGTCTGAGGTCAGATTTGAACTCAGGTCCTCCTGACTCCAGGGCTGGTGCTTTATCCATTGTGCCACATAGCTGCCTCGAACCTCACCTTTTAACAAAGAAAAGTAATTATGTAAAACACCTGATAGCATCTCACAGTGTATACAACATTCTTCCCCAAGTAGTTCCTCTCCCTCACCACCTTGAGAAGGTAGTTATGTTTCATTGTCTATTCTCTCTGGTTTTTCCTTTACTTAGAGATTTGCTTTTTTTTGGGGGGGGGCAGTTGGGGTTAAGTGACTTGCCCAGAGTCACACAGCTAGTGAGTAGAGATTTGCTCCTTTATAGTGATCTTTTCATTTACATTGTTGAAGTCATTGTATTGATTAACCTTTTGCTTTTACTTATTTCATTTTGTATTAGTCCATACAAATATTCCCATGTTTCTCTGTATTACTCATATTCATCATTCTTGCTTCATAATAATATTCAGTCATTGTGGAATCCATGAGCATCCATCTGGTTTTTAGTTCTTTTACTGTCATAAAGAGTACTTTTACAAATTTGTTGACATATATTGGGCCTTTGAACTTCCTGGGGTGTATGTCCAACAATGGGAAGGCAGTGTTTTCTGGAGATAAATAACCCTTCTTTGTCATTGCAGGGAGCTGCAGCTGAAGATGGGCGCCTGAAAAGGGGTGATCAGATAATTGCTGTCAATGGTCAGAGCCTGGAAGGAGTGACCCATGAGGAAGCAGTTGCCATCCTGAAGAGGACAAAAGGCACTGTCACGCTGACCATTCTCTCGTGACCTGAGCTGACCTGGTTGGGTCATCAGATCACCTTATTGAATATTCCTTCTACTTAGTAAAGAGAATGGAGTTTTTCTTGTCACTTTTTTCCCACATCATCTTTACTTGACTCTTCAGCTGTTTCAGAGGATAATGACATTCAATGATATACTTTTTCTCATTTTAAAAATATTTCATGCAATCGATTCCTGTAGTGTCTTTGTGGACCTAGTACTGAATATCCTCACTTGGCCACCATCCCTCGTTATGCCCCATTTTCACTCCTAGTTATTGTCTTTAATACCCAAACAGAAAATATATGAGTAACCCCATCACATCTTTGCAAAGATATGTGAAATTTTGTAAAGGATAAAGCAGAAATACATGGCAAAATAGTTGCTAGAGACAGACATTTTTGGAAATTTTTGAAGGGGTTAAGTGTTGGTAGAATTAAAGTAAAAAAGAAAATGTAGGTTTTTAAAAAATTGGGTGTGATCTGGCCAACATTCCCTCCCCTACTGGAAACACACAAAAATTGTACTCTGGTGTGCAAAGCTGCAATGAATTTTTTTCAGTAATGCCTTTAGCTTGAGTACTGTGCAGTGTGGACAAGGATTTCTCATTGCCCTCTATCTGTTCCTGCTATCTGTTCTATCTGTTTAGTTTTTCTCAACTTAGGTTGGGGGCAGACAATATATAAAACGATCTCTGAATGATTTTGAAGAAAAAATATACTTTACGGCTCTTAAGAATTTTCCTTTTCACTAATGACCTATTCTAGGATATATTCCCATTATTGTAGGCATTTGCTTCCATTACTCTGCAGTGTATATTTTTTCTACAGGAAGCAGCCAGGCTAAAAATGGAGTGGTATGTAGAAAACCTGAAATATTTCAAGTGCTAGTTTTAACTACCAAGGCAACACTAAAAATGTGTTAATGATCTGGGTGATTGGCTTAACAATTAGTATTAATTTTAATGTCTGAAAACAACAGTGTGTTAGTAATTATTTTGGTGATAAGCCATTAGTAAATTCATAGAAAAATTAAGGGGATTAACATAACTTCATTTCATTACTTCCTATTAACATCTTATAGTACAATAGCCTCAGACCAAGGAAAACAGATGGGACTGTTTATTGAGACAACTGGTGAGGCATTTTCATGTGTTCCTTCCCATTTTAGAGCGTGAAACTCCTACATTAGAATATGTAAAGTCACTTTAAATATTATCTATATTTGTAACAGAAGTAGTGTACAGATATTTTATTACTGCATTCTTGTGCAAATGCAGAACTGAAGTGAATAAATATGAGGCTGTCTCGCTGGTATACAAATAAAGAAACAGATGTATGTTTTGTTTTAATGGGAAGATGCCTTTTTCATTCTGTTGTTTAAGATTTAAGATTTTAAATTATGTTTTTATCATGTCTAATTGGACACATGATGTCCATTATAATCCATGAATCCTAGGATATCATTATTATGGAAAACTCAGCATTGTTCACTTCCATTAAAAACTCAATAATAGAATTATAATGGAGTCCTGATGCAGTGAAGAAAGGTAAAGAATGTTTTAGGGAAAGAAAGATGCTGTGCATACACACACACACACACACACACACCAATATGCATAGCAGAAAAACTAATGAGGAGGATTGTTTTTTTAAAGGTTCACAGGAATTTAGGATGGGTATACCCACTTTACAAATTATTAATAATTTATGTTTATACAAATTAATGAACAAAAATTAATCATTGCAACTCTTTTTAAACAGTCTCATAACAAAGAAATGTGGTTTTAGGTACCCAGCGAAAGGCTAAAATGTATCTACAATCCTTTATTTTACTGAGTTTCTCCATGACACCACCAGCAACTCAGCAGTCATTTGGAAGCCCCATTTAGTATTGAAACATGCCTCCTCCCCTCCATAGTTTGGCTCCCACATGAACAATGTTTCTTTACTGGAGAGTGTGGCTTGGAGCTTCAGCTTGGAGTGTTATTTTGGTAACATGTTTGTAAGTTTTTGATAAGCTTATTCAAATGCATCTGGTAGTTCCACCCCTGATCATTAACAGATAACCTTCTAGGGTCTTCTTGGCCACTGCCTCTGGGCTCCACATTATTATCTAGTGTCCTGGATTAATTCACCAGAATAACTCATACCTCTTATTGACTTGTGTGCTCCCATCCATTTGAGGCCTCAATTTTTCTTTCCTTCTCAATGTATCTCCAAAAAACTCATCGAATAAACAGACTGAATGCAGTTATTAAAGTATAATTACCAATTTGCTAGTCTATTCCCACTGTGGTAGAATCTAAAATTGTAATCCCCTTTATCTTTTTTTGTGTTCTGCTCATTCTTTCTTCTTTGTTCTTATGGAGGGGGACACGAAGAACTTTTGTGGAGAAGCACTACTATACATTCTTAATCTTAAATCAAAAAATACGGAGGTGGAACTACCTCAACCAGTATCACTGTGAGTAGTAGACTTCATCCTAGTTGGATGGGCCTCTTCACATTGGCTGGGCTCAAGAAACACCTCTCCCCACCACTTCCTCCCACCCAGCTTTCTCCATTTTTCTTGGCTGCATTGTGACAGTACATCTTGGAAGACTGAGAGTGAGTCAGCCACAAAGTACTTTGTCTCCCCTTTTAAAATTCCCACCAGAGAGCAGCATGACCCGTAAAACTGCCCCCTACTGTAATTTCCCTCCCCACCTCCTTCTTTCTTCCCTTCCCTTTCCTGCCAAGTCTATTCAGTTCCCTCCTTCTGTCTGGAGCAACTATGGATAAAGGCTGAAGCAGAAGAGGGCTTCAGATTAGCAATACAGGCTTGGCAAAGGCTAGAGATTCTTCATCTCCACATGGCAGAGTTAATAGAGGATGTAGCATCAATACATCCTAAGCTACAAGAATTTGATCTACCCTTTCTCTTAAGATAGGACCTTAACAATGATTTTTCAGAACTGATTGCATTGGGAGGTGAAGGAAAAGGAAAACCCACTCAAAAACTTATCTCATCCTGATGTTTACCGTAGGGGACACAAATTCTACTTCATTCCTTTTGAGACAGTCAGATCACATTAAGCTTGTGCAACGTTAATATTTTGGGGGGACATTTCTAAACTAGAATGCATCCAGAAGAGGGCAACAAAGATGGTAAAGGGCCTTGAATGTTTTACATCATATGAGGATTCCTTGAAGGATCTGGGGGTGTTTAGCCCAGAGTAGAAACTTGATAGCTGCATTCTGAATATCTGAAGAACTGTCTGGGAAAGAGGGATTAGCCTGGTTCTGCTTCACCCCAAAAGCCAGAACAAGAAGCAGTGGGTAGAAGTTACAAATAGACAAATTTTGGCTTGATGTCAGGAAAAAAACATCCTAACATTGGAGCTGCCCAAAGGTGGAATGGGCTGCCTAAGAAGGCCATGAGTTGGTCATCATTGGAGGTCTTTAGGTAAAGACTATGCCTGCTTCTTCAAGATTTGTAGATGGGACTCATGTTCAGTTTATGAGATTGAACTAGATGGCCTCTGGGGTTGCTTCTAACTCTGAAATAGTGCAGTTCAGTGATGTTGGTGTCACAGCTGCTGACAACTATGAAAGAGGATGGATTGCTACAGCAACATGATTTTTTTAAACCAAAGAAATTTGACTGAAGAGAACTTGGGACATAGTAGTAACAGTGATAGCAGAATGGAGCAAGGAGCCGGAAAAAAAAGAAGGCTGTGTTAAATAAAAAGATCAGAAAGTTCACAGAGGTGAGGCAAGTAGGGGGAACAGTGAGAAAGGGGCCTCTGAAAAAGAGGATTTGATAGGCTGGAGATCCCAAAGGGGAAGAAGGAATGCCCCTCCCCTCCCCCAGTGACATCTAAATGACTTACAGTAGCGTATTGATGCCTACAGGTGATTGTCTGGCATACTCTGCTAGGTTGAGGGTCGACAAATTCAGCAGAGTGATTTAGTGCTACTCTTCAGATTTCAGTCAGATTGCATTGAGAAGTTGAAAGGCTGCCTGAAGGGAGGTGAGAGTAAACAGATCATTCTTTTCCTAGGTGTGGGAATGTCAAAATCATCCCCACCTGCTTTCAACAGGCCTGGGGTCTGCTTTTTCAAGTCACTGACAGCGTGTGACTAGCTCAGTCATACTAGAAAACATCTGATTTTCTGGCAAAGATGTACTTCAACTTTGTTTACTTGGCAGTAATATTTAACTTTACCTTTTTTTTTTTCTAAAAAGGGAGCCACTTGTTGACCTCGTAATCACTCAACAGGAAATCTTGATTGCTGTGAAAGGAATTTCATTTAAAGCTAGAGGCAGTGTACGGGAAGGTAGTGGGAAAAGTTTGGAAGTTAGGAGAGCCATGTTCACTTTTAACTCTGCCACTGATGCACTATGTGACCTTTGGCAAGGTTTATTATGCCTTCTGAACTTCAGTTTCCCCATTTCATAAAATAGGGGTTGAATTAGGTATCTGTAAGGTCCCTGTCCTAAATGTGAAAGTATTTCTGTAGATATACAGATGTTTTCCTTGATGACCTGTTTTTATTTCTGAATATAATAATTTTTAATATTTGTCTTCATGTGACACTATTTCAAAGTAAATTAGGATATTTCCTTTGATATCTGTGATGATCAAAAATATCTATTTTTTGATGGACCCATGATCTCATCAGTGTCTCATCAATTTCTCAATTTTACCTTCATGGTTACAGATTTGGGGATGCCAGTGCAGCACTTGGGCTGTCCAAAGACTGTCTGCTTCAGAATCAAATACTATATTGGCAGACCATTGCAAGGAAGGCTGGACAGGAAAGGAACCAAAGGAGGTACAATGGAAAAAGCACCTAGATTTGGAAGGAAGAGGGCTATGTTGGAATCCCCACTTCAGTATTTACTAGCTGTGTGACCATGATTGAATCACTTACCCCCTGTAAACCTGGTTCCTCATTGGTAAGATAGGGAAAATAATATTCATATGACCTCTTTCAAGGGACAAGAGTGATAAGTGCTTTGGAGGCCATAAATTACCATAGAAATGTGAGTTATTACTTTTAAAATGAATGACCTTGGAATTGCCTCACCGGAGGTACCACTTGAAGTTTCCAAAGTTACCACTGTCAAGACACTGCCTTAGGCAGATACTCAGAGGCAGCTCTGACTTGTCCACATAACTTTGAGCTTCTTTGTGAAGGGCGTGACATATATGATCTTGCTTCATGAACTTCTTACCTCTCTTTCCTCCTCCCCCCACATTTTTAGAAGTAAACTCTGTTACCTTGAACTTCAGGTTCTTGAGCTTTCTGACTCTTCTCATTGCTGATTGATATGGGATGACTTGGCTTCACACCCCAACTCACCTCATGGCATTCCACATTCAGAACTCCATTAATGTTGATAAGTCTGAGTGCTATTTCCGCTCCTATGTTTAAGAGCTTAGAGGTTTAAGGTCTTCACCTTTGTGCACTTAAAAATGGCTCCAAGGATCTTTGCCAAAAGTAAGCTTTAGGAATGAGTCAGATACAGTACCCGAAAGAAGGCAGACAAAGGAAGATTTTGCAAAAGGATAAAGGAGTCATACCCAATAGGATAATGCCTAGTGTAAGACAACAGCAAAGGTTCCATACAAAATTAAGCAAAAGTTCCAGAAGACAGGTACTCAAGATAGTCATAATCTTATAATACACATTCTCCCAGTCAATCTAACAAGGATTTCTTAAGCAGCTACCTTAATATGGAGAATGACCAGTCACAGCATATAAAATAATTTCATCATACTATCTCTATTTTCTTTGCCTTATGGGTAAGAAAAAAAAATACACTATCAATTGACATAGGTTGGTCTTTCAAGGTATTCTTAAATTCTTGTCCTTCTTAATAAGCCTTTATTAAATGCCTGTTACTGTACATGCTAGAAACTGGGAATGCAAAGGCAAGGCTAGGATATCATGTGATACATAATCATTTATATTTTTATGGCATTTTCAGGTTTAGATAGAGCTTTCTTCACAGTCACTCCATAAGTGTAGGCAGTGTGACTACCTCCATTTGACAAATTAGGAATCTGAGGAGCAGAGAGGTGCAGTGATTTTCACAGAGTCACACAGCTAAAAGATGTTCGAACATCATTCTCAGGTCTCCTGATTACAAGTAGAGTACTCTGTCCACTATTTTTAAGTTTCTTAAAAGACAGAGTTTCTGCATACAAAGAACTGATAATCCAGTAAGGGAGATGGAACACGTATGTGAAAACAAGAATACAAAACAGATTGTGATGAATACATCAGAAAAATGTTGTGAGAACTCTAAAGAATAGAAAGGTGATGTTCAGCTGAAATTCTATGGGAAAAAATGGTATGA